CTTCTCTGTCTTTTCAATTATTGGCATTTCAACATTTCAGCACACATCAGCAGATCGGCTATAGAATATAGCGTCTGCAACATCAGCATCGACACAGAAAGGTTTGTTGCACAAAGAGAAACCCGTTAAGGTTACAGATAGAACAGAGGAATATCAGGAGCGAAGTATTAAAATTCAATCGTTATCAGCAATGTGCGTTTGTATGATCTTTCAGATCTTGTCATCGACGACACCTAGCTGGCCTTGTTAAACGCAAATAAACCATATTAAAAGCCATATACATATACAGTTTAATAATAATATGCCCCAATACTTAGTTGCATGAAAATTGCTTTTGGCAGCATTGTGGGTTAATTTCGTTTGAAAATAATTACATTTGCTGCATCCAAGATAACAGCCCTTTTGGACTTAAGCGCCTTATAACGGCTTATATCGGCTTTTTGCCATTTTCTATCAATATTATGAAATATTTTTTGCATATTAGTTAGTCCCTATATATTCAGTATTTAATGGCAATGTGTACATATTTGTTCACAACCGTTTATGAAGGCTGTAAAAATATTATATTTTCCACCAAATAAAAGTACTCTAAGCAACCTTTAGACCAAAACACTATTCACTCATTTAAATTAGAGTATTAGAGCATATTGGTAAAATAAATAAAAACAGATCGCTGCAAGTCTTTTAGTTTTGGACGACAAATTACAGACCATTTTGAGAACAATGATATATGTATGTTAAAAATATTGACCAACAACATAATACAACTTCATTATTGTATACAAACCGCAAGATATACAAATTTTAGTTTCAAAATAAAGATATGTTAGCTGCCTTTTTAGGATAGCTCCCTCTAAAGCCTGTGCAAGGTATTGGCAAATTATTCTATAACCCTATTATTTTATAAATAGCTAGTCTAGCAACAATCTTGCAGTGGCTGTAATAATTAATCTAGCTCCCATAGAGTCCAATTTCCACTCTTGTTTTTAGTATATCTTCTGGGTGCTAACAAGTAGGTTCTGCAATAACAGCATGGCTTAATAGATTTTAATAAAGTTAGCATGAAGCTATTGCGGTTTGAGTCAGAAAAATATATTATAACAATAAGTAAATGTTCTGCTTCAACAAATTTGTTGAATGTTCTCCTTTCCCAACTGGCCGCAACTGTTATCAGGAAAGGAAGTTCGTTTGAGACAAGTTGGTTCTGGAAAAGTTAGACCGCAGTGTTTGGAGGGTTTAATTAAAAGTTGTTCGCCTGTTACTTTGTGGTCACCAGCATGCGTCATTTTACAAATGATGCGGCACTTTATCAACTCACAACAGGCAACTGATAGAATACGGACACACCAAGATTCATGCATCATTGTCAATGCCGTTGTGGAAAGATTTTTAGGGGGAAGTTGGGGTTGATGCCGCGGATGCCACAAATTCCGCCACATAGCGCGCATTATCAAAATGCCGGCACGCAAATGACTAATCAAAATGGCAAAAGAAATTGACAGCAACAACCACAACTAACACTATAGGAATAGCAGCGGCCGCTGCGCAACGCCTGTAAACAGGCAACGAATTATTCGCTTTGGCTATAGCGGTGGCGATGGCGATGGCGATTGCGATGACGATGGTCCTTGACTATTAATGAGTCTGATTTGTTTGCACACATTTTGCATGCCTTGCGCATCATCGACGACAAGTACATACATACTATATATACAGTACGTACATATACAAAAGTACAAAAGAGCGTACATATGTATATGTACAAGTATGTACTTGTATACGCATGTTCATGTATAGTAAGTGAAAGAATATTTATTTGTAATACAAAGCGATGGTGGCCAACGTTGTACTAATTGCCATTTATAGCGGCTGCTGTTGTTGCTGTTGCTGGACAAAGGCAAACGGATGGGCGACTATTACGGCTGAATAGCAGACATGGGATCTGGGGCAATGGCCATTGATTGGTAAGCCATCAATTTGTTGCATTGTGCTATGTGTAATTATAAAACTAGCAACTAGCACTATGGATGCATAATTACCGTGGTTTGCCATTCGTTCTAGAAAATAATTAACTCTGACTAGCAATGATTTACCGGCGTACATTTTTTGCAGGCAAAACACATTGGTATTCAAAGGCCGATATATATACAAATACTTATCTGTATGTTTCTTCTATCGGGTGAAAGGATAATTAGAGTGGAATAGTTTAATTTATCTTTTTATTTTAATTCTCGCCTATTTCAATGTTAACAAAAAGCCACAAAAGCATATGCCTTTTTGCAGTTAAACAAATGCCTCTTGAGTTCGTGGGTTTACTAAGCCAATTGTCATCCATGGTTATCCAATTCATGGGACTTCCTCCATTCGTCCTTTGTATTGCAAAATGACATTAAAGCCTTTGAGAATAAGGCAAAGAGATTCTCAGAAATCTAATCTTTTCGCTGTGGCTAAGATACTGGTATCATTATTTAGACAGTTATTACTTGCTCGTCTGCTGATCTTGCTGTTCTGTATTCTATTTTTGCTTACATTACAAAATATCTAGACTTGGAAAGTGTTGGGTTCTATCGGAGTGAATCGCTTGACCATCGTCGCTATACACGACAAACGAGCGAACTAAGAGTTAATGATATAAATAGGCATCAGATATTATTCCCGTTGCATATTAGAAAAAACAAAAAACCTAATAAACCAGTCAATTTTGGATATAGGTAGGATTTTCTTGTTTCTACATTATTTTACGAAATAATTGTATGTAATATTTGTGTTTTTGTTAAATATGTTAATTTTTTTATTTATATTCGTACTAAGTAAGATTTTAAAAGACACATTTTAATTAAAATTTTTGAAAAAAATTTATGACAAATGTAGAAGAATACTGTAGGTGCATCTTTTGGATTTTCTTCATATTATTGCATATCAAAATCAGCTAAGTCTTATCCATATTAAAACGGTTAATGTTAAGATTTATATTGTAGAATTATAGATCCTACTATTTTTAACAAATATTCAAACAGCTAGCGGTTGAATAAACACATGTATGTTTTACATAAACAGCACTATTATTTGAAAAGTATTAAAAGACTAATAGGTCGCCTGTGAGCTAAATGCCAATGGAAATAGCATAACAGATACGAAATCTGATTGTCAATCGAACATAACAGGTCATTCCAAAATGGACGAGCTATCGGATTTGTCGGATCCGTTCACAGCCTTTATTAAGGACAACGTGACCGAAGACGTTAACGACCTCATTGAAACCTATGGGGCCTATAAGCTTAGCCTCCATGTGGCTAGGCGCCAATTAAATACAGTAATGGAAATATTGAAGAAGAAGGAGGAGAGGCTTGCCCAGTTAGCTGAACAAAACCCGAATACTCTACCCGAATTGTTTGAGCAATTGACCCTCTCATCTAAGCAGGAAGCCATAGACGTGCTGGATGCGCAGGTTTTGGACGCTTGGTTGCAAATCAGTAAGGAAGCAAAAGACGTCGCCAAACTGGAGGCACAACTTGAGAGTCTGAACGAGAAAATTAGAATGCTGCTCAACCAACAGCAACAGCAGTAAGGATTCTGCTGATATCAGCTGCAATATCCGTATACATTTCTATTGACTCCGCTGGCACAAAAATAGTCTTTTGATTACTTACTTTGCACTGCATATTACATCATCGCCTACATATGTACATACATACATACATACATACATGCATACATGATGACAATGGCACACACCCACAATACGCAAAGTATAAACAGATGCATCCAGACAGCACAATAAAGCACATTTTCAACAATTACAAGAAAATAACTGCGTTCTTTTATCGTCTGTATAATCCAATTACGCCTATTTATTTTCCATTCCCTAAGGGTCGTCCTATTTTATTTGTTTGTTTTTGAAAACAGTTTAATATTTGTTTTATTTAACAAAATAAATGAATTAGGCTATTTGTTTATTTTTGTCTTCGTGCAATTTTGTGCTGGCGACATCGTGAGTTTTCGTGAACACGTTCACACCCAGCTCTAAAGTGTACGAAGAAGTTCGTAATGTTCGTAGCAGCCCTCGTGCTAGAGTACATAATGTTTAATATAACGATATGCATTTTATAATATTACCCTTAATTTGTTTAAATAATGTTTGATTAAAGCGAGAGAATTCTTAAAATAATACGTTGAATTTTCAGTTTTAGGTTTAATGTTGATTTTAAGACTTCACATACTGCTATTAAGGCTCGTTTAAAGTTCAGAAATGACTTAATGTACTATCTTAAAGTGAATTTAAATTCAACAAAAACGGAAAAACGAAATCAACAACTAATACCTAAAATATATACATGTGTTAACACCTTCTCTGTACAGCGCTGTTTGTTGTTCTCTATTCTTCCTCATTCTACATTTGCAGCTGGCAGTGCCGTGCCTCGTGTATAAAAAAAGTAAAGAAGACGAACGGAAAAATACTCATTTCAATGTGTTCACTCCTATCTTGCCAAATATATTGTGCACGGGCAGACAAACTAACATACCTATGTATGTTTTTAAATAATTTCCGCACCTTCTTCCTCTCAATTTTATTTTGCTAACTTTTTAGCGTGTATTTCTGCATCCTATTTGTATGTCGACTGCAATGCGATAGTGATTTCGCTGGCAGTGGCGGGGAACACTTGCGTGCACATATTTACATACATACATATGTATGTACATGCTTATTTGTTGGTAAACACTTAAGTAAACCGTCAATTATTTTAATAAATAATAACTTGCGAACCTTCTCGGATATTTAGAACACACCGCAACGATTCAGAATCAATGTTTTCAACTTTCCCAAAAATCGATTTGTCTCTATAGGGATTTGCATAAATGACAATAAAATTAAATGTTGTCAAATTAACGATGATAACTAATTTGTAATAGCGATAGTATTTTGATCGACGCGTAAGACTATCGATAGTCTTATAGAAAGCACATGATTAGCGCGAAGGATGAAAGCAGAATAGTCTCGGCAGAACATTTCGGGTTTTCTGATAATTAAATGCAGGGTAAGATACATAAACATACATACATATGTATGTAAGGAACTATTTTCAACTACAACGGCACAGTTTCAGCTAAAATGGAGTTAGCAGGAGGTGACGTTGAGAAAATGTGCTTCAAAAAAGTTAACGAAGAAGGTGCTGGCAGTGCAGGCACTAGCAGCGATACTAACATTTCAGAAATTAACACACATAACTCGGATGCCGACATTGTAGTTGTTAACACTTCCGCACTTTCGAATATCGATGTGTTGGAAGTAAACGTATCTTCCATGCATAATCGCCGCGTTATGCTTTATTCGCGAAGCGCAGGTAACAAGGGACTAGTTGTCTACGAAATGAGCATCTTGAATCTGCCATTGGACGTGACCGCCAGAGATGTTTTCATGCTCTTCGAACCGTATGGGCCACTCCTAGACATACGCCTCCTGAACCCTGGTGGCGCAATTATTGTGTTTGAGCGGTACAAGAACGCGGTGATAGCTTTCGATGAACTCGATGGCAAGCTATGGAAGCACCGACCAATTAAAATGAAACTCAAGACGACTCCTTGGTCTTCGCTGTGTGATGTACAAAACTGATGGCTAGGCCAGAAAGGGCTTTTGTAAAATTTGCTCTATAAATATGTTTAACATATTACAAGATTAAATTAAAAGTGCTATTTTTTTCGAATACATACAAATAATCCATTGCATTGCTACTTATTTAGGAAAATTAATACACACATTAATCCTACTCATGTACATATATTCCTCTAAGAGCATACATATACATATATATGTATGTACATGCGCATTATAAAATGCACTACCTACATACAGACCTACATACATATGTATATTACGACGGTGTTGTGACATACATATCTATTTAAGAAACTTGAATATTTAACAGACAATTCAACTCTAAAAATATATTCCAGTGTAAGATGACAAATAGCTTGCATAAAAATTGAATACTTGACATTATTTGCGGAAGCTCTTCTTTTATGAGCAGGTGGTCCCCTTACTTGCCATTTGTGCCAAGATAAACTATTAGAGATGGTCGATACTTAAGTGCCTGTCGTAAGTCACAGATCGAGAAAAAAAGTAACAGACAATTCTAGCCACCTATTACTATATTCACCTAACAATGATAATATAACACTAGCGGTATCGAGCCAGTCAGATTTGAAAAAGATTATTCCATATTAGACAATTTGATTATTAGTCTTGTTGATTGTTATAGATTAATCTGAATTAAAACTAGATTTAGTTTAGATCACTTGTATGCTCATACTGCAATTTTTTTGTGGATCAGTTGTTTTTCGGAGTCTATTACAAATTGAAATATGAAATGCCACTATTTACTTGATTTTGATACACAGATTTAATATACAATTGATTTGAAATAACACACGCACAAATAAACGATTTTAAAGTCTTCATTGGACAATAATAATTATACAATAAATAAATTATACAAAGCACTCTGTGTACATTCCTACAATTTTTAAATTTATTGAAAGATGATTTGCCAAGAAATTGGTTATGTAAAAATGCAATCGGTTTTTCAAAATACGATTCGATTTTTGACTGCACCCAGCCCTAATAACTACAAAAAAGAACATGCTTAAAGCCAGTTAGAGATGAGTGGCACCGCACTTCTATGTCAGACATCGATATTCCTTGCACGAATCCTAGTATCCCTCGCCTCTTCCTTAACTTTTTTTTTCTGACAGCGACCCGCTGCCGGTTAACGACTTGAGAAGATTTTAGCAATATGAATAATCATTGGCTTTACACAAGCAATGGTCCGTCCTCAATTGTTTTGAAGAAATTCAAGGTAAGATATCCATGTGGGCATTGGCAAGTCTTAATTGAAAAAACCATTTATATATGTATGCACTTTATATATGTATGTATACTTGTGGACATACATGTTTGCATGCATATAGCACAAGGAGCGCGTTGTGGTCGCTATTATTCGGGAAGTACCGCGCTTGAGCAACAATAACCACTTGGAATACTGCTGGTCGTCATTGAGCGATACGTCCCGTATCATAACTGAGTTGGGCCGCGTGCTTGATGGGGTAGCAGACTTGGATACCTTGACGGAGCTACAGAAGAAGAAGAAGATTTTTATTGCTGACGTCAATGTCACTTTGGGCGTCAAAGCGGTAGAAGAGACGCTGAAGCAGGATATAAAGAAGCACTGTGAATCGAACGCCGTCTCTCTGATGGTGGTCGTTAAATACGGAGATCATGAAATTGCCGAGGAAGAATTCGAAAGACAGTACGCAAGCCAGCAATAATGCATAGACGTGTCTGTCCTCACCCCCATTTCCTTTTTTCTCTGTAGGGCCGCCCCACGACTGCAAACAGCTAGCAACCAGGAAGCTGGGAACAACTCTTCGGATTACTAGAGAGCTTTATTTTATTCAAGACATCTGGCTACTTCCAATTCTCTTTTGCTGAAGGATGTCTTCTCGTGAATGCAATACAATAAAAAATTAAACCAAAATACGTCTATGGAAGTAAAACACCCCAACTATATTTAATCAATTGATGGAGTTTAGCTTTTCTTATCCACCTACTTTAGGCATCTTCCTCCTTTTTGAACTAAGAAAGTCGTCCGCGTTACTTTACCACAAAAAAATGTTAAAATTCATGGGCCGCGAACTATTTAACCTTTCAGTTTTTTAATTATATTTTGTGATCCATTGTCACCATAGCTGGTGATGGGGATCGTAGACCCTATGTGCATATCGTGTGTGGAGAGGGTATAGAGAATGGGGACCAAAATCAGAAGGGAACACGCGTACAATCTCAGCATAAACAACTACTACAACAACAAAACTTCCATTATGAAATAAATACACAACTAATTGTTATATTAATTTTTAAATAAATTAGAAATTAATTCATATTATTATTATAATATACAAAAATTACTAAAATTTTAATTCATTTTTTTTTATATCTTGGGGGGGAAATTTTCTTTAAGGATTAAAAAATGTTTGTCTTCAAGGCGTGGAAAAATTAATTTTCTACTGTTCAATTTAATTTTTATAAGGCCAAGCAAGAAGGCTAAGTGTAGCATACTTTACAGTGGCAGAAAAAATAAAAATGTTGCACTACATTAGGCGGTCGAATTTAATTTGAACATTTTTAAAAATCATCTTGCTGCTGGTTTCTGTTCGCCTGATACTTCAGATTTTGGATTTTAGCAAATGCATGCCTTTTTTATTGATTTATTGGAATTTACAGCTGCTCTTGGCTTCAATTTGGAAGCTGGCACCTCTGCTACGTCCCAGGCGAACATATTATATATACAGTTCTCTATTCTTCCTCATTCTACATTTGCTGCTGGCAGTGCCGTGCCTCGTGCATAAAAAAAGTAAAGAAGACGAACGGAAAAATACTCATTTCAATGTGCATGTGTATGTTTTTAAACAAGAGGGAACGCTACAGTCGAGCAAGCCCGACAGTATAATACCCTGTACCCAGGTAAACTTCCGTCACTGAGTTATATGCTCCCAAAGCAGCAGCAAAAAGAGGAAGAAGAAGAGCGAATTGTTGCTGTTTTAAACAACAGTAGATAATTATATATAAATTATGTGTGAAGAAGTGCCATCCAAAGGATCTCCCCACGAGATCCCTTGTGTAAAATATATATCATAAAATATATTTCATATTTAATCTAAAATATTAGATATACTTTATTAAACGATTTATAAACCTAATAAATCTTACATATATATGTACATAGATGTAAGTGCGTCCGATAGATGCATACTATGGACAACTCTTTTATTCCCCATTAATTTTCAACTAGCTTAAGTTGCCGTATTGGTAGCAGAACACTAGTTTAATAAATTGTATATAATTTGCCTATGCGTGTTTATATGCGTGCAGCACAAAGTTGAACCAAAGCAGCAACAACAACAACAGCTGCGGGCAGCGGTGCCGGCAGAGCTGCTAACTTTCTTCAGAATTGACCTATCATGATGAAACTTAGCACACGGACACATTAGCACTAACTGGATGTAACTACCAAAATTGATTTCAAAATTCCAAGAATTTTGGAATTTATAAAAAAACAGGAATTGCGGGAGAGTGGGGGGTGTATCAGAATAAAAAAAATAAACTTGACCTGCCTAGGACTTAGGGGAACCTCGATACCAAGTTTGGTTATTGTAGCTCGTGTACTTCCTGAGATCCTTGCGCTCATACAGACAGACGGGCATGGCTATATCGACTCGGCTTGTCACTTTGTGGGGTCAGCCACGCCTCCTTCTGTGTGTTACATGTACACTCGCACAAAACTAATATAGCCTTTTACCCTTTTGGTACAGGCTATAAAAAGAGAACGTAGAGGATGCTAGCAGTACAGGTACTAGCGGCGATACTAACATTTCAGAAATTAAGACACATAACTCGGATGCCGACATTGTAGTTGTTAACACTTCCGCACATTTTGGCCCAAACACAAAACTTTCGAATATCGATGTGTTGGAAGTAAACGTATCTTCCATGCATAATCGCCGTGTTATGCTTTATTCGCGAAGCGCAGGTGACAAGGGACTAGTTGTCTACGAAATGAGCATCTTGAATCTGCCATTGGACGTGACCGCCAGAGATGTTTTCATGCTCTTCGAACCGTATGGGCCACTCCTAGACATACGCCTCCTGAACCCTGGTGGCGCAATTATTGTGTTTGAGCGGTACAAGAACGCGGTGATAGCTTTCGATGAACTCGATGGCAAGCTATGGAAGCACCGACCAATTAAAATGAAACTCAAGACGACTCCTTGGTCTTCGCTGTGTGATGTACAAAACTGATGGCTAGGCCAGAAAGGGCTTTTGTAAAATTTGCTCTATAAATATGTTTAACATATTACAAGATTAAATTAAAAGTGTTATTTTTTTCGCATACATACAAATAATCCATTGCATTGCTACTTATTTAGGAAAATTAATACACACATTAATCCTACTCATGTACATATATTCCTCTAAGAGCATACATATACATATATATGTATGTACATGCGCATTATAAAATGCACTACCTACATACAGACCTACATACATATGTATATTACGACGGTGTTGTGACATATCTATTTAAGAAACTTGAATATTTAACAGACAATTCAACTCTAAAAATATATTCCAGTGTAAGATGCCAAATAGCTTGCATAAAAATTGAATACTTGACATTATTTGCGGAAGCTCTTCTTTTATGAGCAGGTGGTCCCCTTACTTGCCATTTGTGCCAAGATAAACTATTAGAGATGGTCGATACTTAAGTGCCTGTCGTAAGTCACAGATCGAGAAAAAAAGTAACAGACAATTCTAGCCACCTATTACTATATTCACCTAACAATGATAATATAACACTAGCGGTATCGAGCCAGTCAGATTTGAAAAAGATTATTCCATATTAGACAATTTGATTATTAGTCTTGTTGATTGTTATAGATTAATCTGAATTAAAACTAGATTAAGTTTAGATCACTTGTATGCTCATACTGCAATTTTTTTGTGGAGCAGTTGTTTTTCAGAGTCTATTGCAAATTGAAATCTGAAATGCCACTATTTACTATTAAACGATTTTAAAGTCTTCATTGGACAATAATAATTATACAATAAATAAATTATACAAAGCACTCTGTGTACATTCCTACAATTTTTAAATTTATTGAAAGATGATTTGCCAAGAAATTGGTTATGTAAAAATGCAATCGGTTTTTTAAAATACGATTCGATTTTTGACTGCGCCCAGCCCTAATAACTACCAAAAAGAACATGCTTAAAGCCAGTTAGAGATGAGTGGCACCGCACTTCTATGTTAGACATCGATATTCCTTGCGCGAATCCTAGTATCCCTCGCCTCTTCCTTAACTTTTTCTTTCTGACAGCGACCCGCTGCCGGTTAACGACTTGAGAAGATTTTAGCAATATGAATAATCATTGGCTTTACACAAGCAATGGTCCGTCCTCAATTGTTTTGAAGAAATTCAAGGTAAGATATCCATGTGGGCATTGGCAAGTCTTAATTGAAAAAACCATTTATGTATATATGTATGCACTTTATATATGTATACTTGTGGACATGCATGTTTGCATGCATATAGCACAAGGAGCGCGTTGTGGTCGCTATTATTCGGGAAGTACCGCGCTTGAGCAACAATAACCACTTGGAATACTGCTGGTCGTCATTGAGCGATACGTCCCGTATCATAACTGAGTTGGGCCGCGTGCTTGATGGGGTAGCAGACTTGGATACCTTGACGGAGCTACAGAAGAAGAAGAAGATTTTTATTGCTGACGTCAATGTCACTTTGGGCGTCAAAGCGGTAGAAGAGACGCTGAAGCAGGATATAAAGAAGCACTGTGAATCGAACGCCGTCTCTCTGATGGTGGTCGTTAAATACGGAGATCATGAAATTGCCGAGGAAGAATTCGAAAGACAGTACGCAAGCCAGCAATAATGCATAGACGTGTCTGTCCTCACCCCCATTTCCTTTTTTCTCTGTAGGGCCGCCCCACGACTGCAAACAGCTAGCAACCAGGAAGCTGGGAACAACTCTTCGGATTACTAGAGAGCTTTATTTTATTCAAGACATCTGGCTACTTCCAATTCTCTTTTGCTGAAGGATGTCTTCTCGTGAATGCAATACAATAAAAAATTAAACCAAAATACGTCTATGGAAGTAAAACATCCCAACTATGCTTAATCAATTGATGGAGTTTAGCTTTTCTTATCCACCTACTTTAGGCATCTTCCTCCTTTTTGAACTAAGAAAGTCGTCCGCGTTACTTTATCACAAAAAAATGTCAAAATTCATGGGCCGCGAACTATTTAACCTTTCAGTTTTTTAATTGTATTTTGTGATCCATTGTCACCATAGCTGGTGATGGGGATCGTAGACCTTATGTGCATATCGTGTGTGGAGAGGGTATAGAGAATGGGACCAAAATCAGAAGGGAACACGCGTACAATCTCAGCATAAACAACTACAATGATATTCTTATCTTTGTTTATAGACGATGTCTATAAATAGATTTCTGCGGGTTTTTTATAATAAGAAAAACTTCCATTATGAAATAAATACACAACTAATTGTTATATTAATTTTTAAATAAATTAGAAATTAAGTCATATTATTATTATAATATACAAAAATTACTAAAATTTTAATTCATTTTTGTTTATATCTTGGGGGGAAATTTTCTTTAAGGATTAAAAAATGTTTGTCTTCAAGGCGTGAAAAAATTAATTTTCTACTGTTCAATTTATTTTTTATAAGGCCAAGCAAGAAGGCTAAGTGTAGCATACTTTACAGTGGCAGAAAAAATAAAAATGTTGCACTACATTAGGCGGTCGAATTTAATTTGAACATTTTTAAAAATCATCTTGCTGCTGGTTTCTGTACGCCTGATACTTCAGATTTTGGATTTTAGCAAATGCAAGTGCCTTTTTTATTGATTTATTGGAATTTACAGCTGCTCTTGGCTTCAATTTGGAAGCTGGCACCTCTGCTACGTCCCAGGCGAACATAATTATATTTTCCTTTTAATGTTGGAGATGATTATAAAGGATTAATTTGTATATAAGTATAGACGACGCAAAATCAAATTAAATTTTCCCATAGGATAGATAAATTGAAAAAATATAGACGAAAAGTTCGAGTGTCGCCGACGGGCTGAAAATGCCAGTTAAGCAAACTATCAAAAAGGCGAAAGCTTTTCATGTTGTACATACTTGTATAGAGCAACTTTTCTGTAATTTAATATTCAAAAATTGCTCCGTCATCTCCTGCACTTGAACGTACAAACTTTGAGTGGCACGTGCGCCTCAAATTAGGCAACAGTCTCCCCAATCCCAAACCAAATTTTTGACTATGGCTTCATTCATTGTCTGGCGCAGCAGAAAAACAGAAATGTGCCAGTGTTTGTTTTAGAGACTTAAATGAAAATCAAATGAAAATGAAAAATGGAAAATGCACGCGTACACAACAGAAACAGCAGGGGGCAGTAAAAATAGCAGCAACAGGAAGCGCAGTCATGCAACGGAGAAGGAGACTTCACCACAACACGCTAACGAGTCCTGCCAAGCCGAGCTGACGAGCACAGTCAAAGACCTACCGAACAGCAGAGTCCAGTCCAAAGCCTGACGACCGTCCTCTTGTCCGCCTCCTGTATTGTGCATCGAGCCGACTCGGTTTTCGTGTGCAGTGCGGCGTGTAAAGTGGTTTGCATTCGATTTGCATGCTCGCTTCATCCCGCTGGCCGGCCACACAACTGTTGACCGCCCACTGCGCGACGGCAATGCATTCTGATTTATATGTAAATGAAGCCAAGCAAGTGCAGCTGCTTGATCCGCGCCCGAGCCCGAGCCCGAGTCCGAGTCCGAACCCAAACCAGAGAAGTGGGGAGGCAGAGTAGTGGAGAGCAATTTGCAGTTATAAGTACGAGTGTGATATCGTCTAATTTTCATTCACTTGATTTTCGTTTTATTTTTCATTCATAATTTAAATAAATTAAACGTAAAATTACAAATCAATATCGCATAGCGGCAGCTCGTACAAGTTTTCGAAATTCCCAAAAGTGTGTAATAAATAAATAACTTATCGCAGGCAGTACGCGAAAAAAAAAGTGTAGAAGAGAGGCTTCTGCTCAACGTCGTCGAAACAAAGTATTTACACTATTGCCCAGCATGTTGGCAAATTCGCGTTGCCCGCTCAGTTGAAAAAATCCAGAATCCCATTGAGCAGCTCGTAGGCAAAGTCTCCCTCGCTCGCCTCTGCGGCGGCCTTCTTCTTCTTGTTCTTTTTCGCCTTCTTCGACTTCTTCGACTTGGCTGTGGTGGCCTCTACGGCCGCTGCAGGAGCAGCAGTAACTGCGCTCACAGCTTCCTCCACAGCTGCCGCCGACTGAGCAGCTTCGCTGCCAGCTGCAGACGCTGCCGCTGCCACTGCTTCTGCTGCAGCGGGTGCCGCAGCCGTGCCCGCCTCATCCTTGCTTTGCGCCAGCTCCACAGATTTCTGATCTACATTCTCCCGAGTCTGGTCAGCGGCTGGCACCACTGCGGCAACTGCTGATGCTGCTGGCTTCTTGCTTGGCTTCTCATCCTCATCATCGTCCAGCTCGTCGAGCAGACCGCCCAGACTGAAACCGCCATAGTCCGCATCGCCGGGCGCTTCGGCATCATCGTCCTCGGTGTAGTCGTCGGCATCATCGTCGTCTGATTCCTCCGGCTCTTCGGCATCGTCATAGTCCTCTTCGTCCTCGTCGTCATCACCGCCGCCGGCTGCAAATGTGACCAGATTGTACATTAGGAATGAGCATGTTATTCAAGTAGTTCGATTATACACAAATCTAATGGCGGTAGTAGCTGGATTGTAATTTCAAGAAAAACTTTGCACGAAAACTGCAGACATTTGGACATCCATATGTATATGTATATGTATAAGTGTATTATATCTGAGGGGGATTACTTTAAAGGGGACAAAATGGATATTGATGAATAATTAAATACTTTTCAATAAAAATTAAAAATTGACATTTTCTTTTGAACAAACCATGCACTATATATATCAACTGGATTTCAATATATGTAAACTATAAATTTCTGCAGATTTCATCCATATACAGGGTGCGCCATCTTTTATGTCGGTATGTAAACACTGAATATCTTTGAAAATAAACAACCGACTTTCAAGTATGAAATATTTTTATTTAATTTGGTTCTGTACAATTTCTTCAGACTAATTCTTTAACACTGGTCTACTCAAGTCAATCGGTTCACTAATGACAAAGCCATTCAATATCCGCACACCGACATAAAAGATGGCGCACCCTGTACTATGTATGGTTTGAGATTCCTATAAATTTGCTCTCAGCGAAATCAACAACTATAGTTTTATTTCGGATTAAAACTCCACAGGAAGCGATTTATTTCGTACATATCAGGTAACGTGGTTTTAAACCTACCAATACCACGCATTGCATTCCTCTATAACTAATGTAAGGGTATCAAAAATTACGAACATTCCATAAAAAGGCCCATCTACAATATTAAATTAGCTACTTGTAGTTTATATAATCTACACCCCTTAATTGTTGGATATTTGTAATTTAATACCTGAGCATGGTTCAATTTAAATCAAAGAGTGGGGCTGCTATATAGCAGGTATTTCGTATTCCAGACTAGGGAATATACATTAAGTAGTACGATTATTATAATTTACTTGTATATATCAAACAAAGAGTACTCCACTAACGCTGACTATTTAAATAGCAATATAATAAACTTGCTTTTGATTATATGATATGATTCAGATTATAATTTTAAAACATATAGTATTCCCCGTTTTCTGACTTACCACCAAAGCCAAAGATATCATCATCGTCGTCATCCTCTTCCTTGTTCACTTCCGTGGGCAGGGGCTCGGCCTCAGCTACGCGCAAGCCCTCAGGTCCGAACTTGAAGCAGGAGACACGAAGCGCCGCTTCCACTTCGTCATCAGCGCGCAGCTCGAAGGCCAGGCACGCCTTGAAGTTCTCCTTGGCACGCGAAAGGCCATAGACGCGGCCACAGAACTTGGAGTAGCCGCCGGGCAGACCTACGCAAATGGGACGCGCTTTCTTCGCGGAAATGCGACGAGATGCTAGTGTCAGATCACCATACTTAATGGAAACGGACATCTCGTCGTTGCCCAAATATGAGATCTTGGCGCAGCCGGGACCGCTTGGAATTAGCGGAAGACCGAACTTGCGGCAGCAATCGCAGTGCGACTCTGAACACTTGCAGTAGCGGCTGATGCCATTCTGGCTATCCTCGCTGGATGGCTTGGCGGGCTGTTTTGTGGGCTTGGGCGCCACGGTGGTGGCGACAGTGGCAGCAGCTGCGGCGGCAGCTGGAGCCACATCGGCAGCATTGGCCTCATTGGCGGCATTAGCTGCAGCAGCAGCTGTTGCAGCGGGAACCTCAGCTGGAGCGGCAGATTCGGCACTGGGTATCTCATTGGCGCTCTCATCGATGCCCAACTCATTGGTGGAGGCAGGAGCGGCTGAGATGGCGGCGGCACTGTTGTCCAGTTCCTCGGTTTGAGCCGATGTTGAGATCACATCCTCCGCATCTATGGTTTGCACCTTCATTGGCTCTGGCGCCACATTTGGATCAATCTCCTCTGGCGGCAGGTCCAACTGTTTAAAATTCTCTGAGATTTTATCCGTTCGCCTGAACACCGTTTTGGCCTGACCGCCAAGCACTAGGGCCGAGCAGGCCAACAACAACAGTAGAGAGTGGACGCTCCTCATGGTCTGACTGTGTCTGGGTCTGTGGTTTGAGCTGTGACTGCGAAGAGAGGCAAATAAATGGGTGCACGATTAGCACATGACAAAGAAATCGAAACGCAATTTTCACCCAGACGCCAACGACAAGAGCGCATAAAAATATTTCAAAAGTCAACAAGAAAGGTTTTTAAGTGGTGCGCGATTAAATTTCACCTTTTTTTCTCGTCAACTCAACTTTTTTTTGCTGTTGTTGTATTTGATTTTGCAGTAAGCGTCCAAGTGGCAGAAGAAAAGAATTTAAATAAATATTGACATAATTTCTTTGCTCATTTTTTAAATGTCTTTCTTCTGCTTTTCTTTCTCATGTTCAACCAAACACGAGATATTTGCAAAGCCACAACAAATTAAACAAACAAACTAACGCGCCACCTAGCGGCCGGCCATAATTAAAGATATATTCAATTCACAAATCCATTCATTATGAACAGCGACATCAGCAGCAGCAACAACAACAATAACAACAAAAATAATAATAAAAGAAATGAAATATCGAAATGGAAATCAATGCGTTGAAATGCAAACAAACAAAACAAAAAGTGAAAAACATATTGACGCTCCAAAATGAGAGTGAAATTTCTACCTGACCATAGGCCGAGGCCGTTAGCAACAATAACAATACATAGCAACAACAACAACATAAGCAGCAACAACAGCAACATCAACACCTAGCTACCCAGCTACGTCATTTAATTGATGATTTGGGTTACCCAGCTAGCGGCATTAGAATTGGGCATACCCTCCACGGCCCCTCCCCTTCCCCTTCTTCCTCTTCTTCCCTCAACCAACCCAACGGCGACCCCCTTCAGCGCACTGTTACAAGTTGGAGTTGGAGTTCGATTCAAGCCACTTCTTCTTCAGCTTGTGAGTCACTTTTTGTTGTTGCTGCGGTTTACGAGCTCGAGTATTGTTTGTTTATCCGAACGCTGGCAAAGTGAAATTTTACCCATTGACTCATTTACCGCACACACACACACACACACACACACACACACACACACACACGCTTGTCTCGTGGCTTCTTTTCGAGTGGCCCAAGTTATTTCAATTATGTGACCAATTGTTGTTGGCCATGAGCCCGAATCTTAAGCCGCCTGAAAGCGTGTATGTAAGAGGGTTACCTTGCCAACTGTCTTTCATATCCCGAACTTATCCTCAGCTCTGTCCTCTGTCCTCTGTTCCTCCCACCACAAGTTGCTGCCCCAGCAAAAACTTTAACACATGGCCGAGCTCTAGCGGGCGTATCTCAGTATCCAACAATAAGCTACATAAGTATTCGAACAAATATTACACGAGTAGCTTTATGCCAATTTTCAATTAAAGATCCGATCAAATTCTCCGATTGAGCTCCCCTGCTCAATTTTTAATTAATTGCTTACCTTTTTTGAAATTATTAACTGTATGCTTACTCGTATATAGAAGTACATAAGTAGTATACAAATTTTGCTGAGATTTAGGACAAAACTTCATTGGTTTCTTTAAAGATGAAATGACCTTTTTAAAGAACTCTTCACTCTATTTATTTTATTATAGCTGCATTCATGGACCAATGAGTTTCCTAAATCTAAACGGCAGTAAAATTCTTTATTGGTTGCTTTAAAAGTATTTAGAGCGAATAAACCGCCACTCGAATTTTTCGAAATCATGAGTAAAAGAGGCTTTGTTCATTGTTTAGTTTTCACGGCCAATTTAAAAAGGGTGTACATTTGAGCAGACGACACATCCTGAAATTTGGTTTCAAAATATTACTTCGAATATTTGTTACTATAAATTTCTTGATTACATAAGATTGTCAAAGTCATTTGCAAATATTTGGGTTATACTACATATGTATTTATAAATATACTTGAGCACCCTAGCGTGGTGTCCAAAACATTTGCGTCGTTGCTGATAAACCAAATCAAGCTTAAACTTGCGATAGTTCCAGCTGGGACAACAAGACAACACATTCAAGATGACGACCGGGCTGGACTGACAGCCACCCAAAATAACGAAACATATGACACACTTTATGGCAGAGTATTAATGCCCCTTTTCCCCCCTTCTCCCTCTGCTCCCTCCTCCCCTTCCACAGTGTGTGTGTGCAAAGGGTATGAAAATGGCAGCTCAAGCGACAGTCAATTTGTCGTCCAGTTGCTGTTGCTGTTGCTGTTACTGTTGCTGTTGTTGCTATTAGTGGATAGAAAGTGTGTGACCAAATAGGGTGACACAAGCACAAGGCACGCAGCAGAATGCTCATAACAATAACAGTTACACTTGCCACACAACCACCAGCACCAACAACAACAACAATAGCAACACAAGCAACAAAAACAACAGGAAGAGCAGCAACATATTTGTTGCTTTTGTTATTGCCATTGCTCTTTTCAATACATTGTACACATTTACCGTTATACGCACTGCCATATTCACACACACACACACACACTCACACACACGCACACACACATACTACGAGCGTAGGTGCATCTATCGAAATGGCGAATTAGAACTCTTAACTGTCTTTTGATGACCATTTCGAACAACTGCTACGAGCGTATGTTTACTCTGTGCGTGTGTTTGTGTGTGTGTGTGTGTGAGCTTACAAGCCGACGGGCCTTTTACGAGAGAGAGACCGAGTCTGGCACTGGGACCAACTGGGCCAACTGACTGACTTTTTACTTTTTCTATGGGAACATTAATGGCCCTGGCCTCAGCCGGCCCAGTTTGAAGCGTCAGTGAGGCAGCGACTAAGATATTGCCCATGAAGGTTTGACCGACCAGCTACCGATTAACTCATTAATGTCGAGCGGCTGTGCCGCATTTGGGTAAGCTGCTCATTGTCTTCAAAAACAATGCCTATTAGCAGTGGAGCTTCTGTATCTACGGCACTAGATTTGGGGCAATCTTTCGTTCGTAATCATGAAGATTGACAGACAGGGTTTTGTAGGTTGCCGTTCAATTACCCCGAAGGCCCATTTAAATGATGGAAACATGCAACGAGGTAACGCTTTCATTTTTATTCAATGCATTACCATTAGTAGCAGTAGCTGATTATATTAAGATACATGCTTAGAGAATCTCAGCACATTAGGATTTAACCGACTAACGTTTCTTGAGCAACTTATTTGGGAAAAGACTCAGATGCCTTACACATATGTGAATGCTTCTGTTATACGAGTATATGTTTAAGAAGGCAAAGCTTTAGATTAATATTTAAAGTAGTCAGCACTGAGAGTTAAAAATTGTTTGTAGTTAAATGAGTCTTACTTTGCATTTTGAAAAATATCAAGAAATTCAATTTCAAAGTTATATTTAGAGAGTAGAAGGTAAAAGCCCGGCTTTCCAGCTCAAAAAGACTTTGTTGCACCAATCATTCTTACTACAGGTAGTACATATATTTTTAAAAGGGACTATAAATAATTCAGAGGTTGCTTAACATGTCTTTGATAAGAAAAAGAGTGGTTTTGTCAGCGACCGGTCCTATGATATAGGGAAATAGTTGCCCCATTTTAATGTAATTTCAGATTCTGTGCGAATTTCGTAAGACCTTAGACCTCAGTAGAAAGTATTTCAAAACTAGGAAGTCCGGCAGTGTTTAGAGAGGTATAGAGATTATACTGAATTATGTATGCCCCATCAAGAGGGATTCCCTATTGAACAACTGTTACTTTGTAGCCCCTTTAATGAATTTTTACGATTCAAAGTTCTTTAAAACAAAATGTATGAAAAGACAATAAATATTTTTTGTACTTGTAAAATGCTTTCGAGGGGCTATGGTTGGTGAGCTTTAAAACTTGTTGCAACTGTAAGATCGGCATTATGTCTCTTCTCTTTCTTCCTCTTCTTTCTGCACACACTCATGCATATGCGTGTTAAGTATTTCGTCGCTTTACTTCTTTTCTTTCATAATTTCACTGCCGACATTCGGCATTCCAATACGTAACAGTCAATAGCTTCATTTGCATATGGCTTTGGTTCACAAACAAACAAACAAACGAACACACACACATACACAGATAGGGAGGCAGAGAGAGACACATTTGCATGGATATGCCGCATATTTTCTATTTATATAAATAAATTATAACGGTTGTGAAAAGCAGCTACACATATTAGCATTAATTAATTATTATATGGATTGGAAAATAGAAAGTAAGGGCTGGCCATCGTCTTTGCCTTAAATTTGATCAGATATTATCATACTATATATGTACATAATACAACCGCAATCTTTTGGCCTATTGTCTTTTTAATATCAATGCAGCATGTTCCCCTCTTGCCAACTTGCTCCCTTTCCACCTGCTGCTCACCCTTGTGTTTTCTTCGTCATCTTCTTGTTTTCGAGTTCGAATTCGTCGCAACGAAATCGAAATCTGTTAATTAATGCACACCTCTCCACCTCTCCACATGCTCGAAACTTTAAAAATTGGGTTTCTGAACAAGCGAAAGTGTTGCTTGTTGTTTCTGCTAATAATATTAATATTATTAGTTTTATCTGCAAAAAAGAAAAAGATTCCATTTCAACAGCAGCTGCTTTTTCTAATCAGCTGCCTGGGTGCCTCTCCCCCCTCGATTACGACACGACGTCTGATGATTTGATTATGCTAAGCAGTTTGGCAGACTTTTACATCCTTCAATGGGTTGCGTGCAAGCGTGTATCTCTCGTATCTCGTCTCCCGTTGTGTGCGTATGTGTGTTAATGTGCGGGTTTATATAATACACATTCCCAATTTGCATAATTTTTGTGCGATGCACAGCGTCAACGATTTTGTTTCTATGTATCCCATACTTTTTTCAGTCAACTCTTTTTTTCTGATTTACTTTCTTCTTTGAGGCCAAAACTGATTTATTGCGTGGGTGAAATCGCTGGGCCCGTTGTAAGCGTGTGTGTGTGTGGGGCGTAACAAACTTAATAATACTTATGCCAAAATTAGGGTTAGGTTCTTTACACGCCAGCGAATGCACACAGGCTACTTATATACGAATATACTCTCGTGCAAGTGAAAATCTGGGCATGTGTTTGGCATTATTTCGCCGACTTTTTATGGTCACATTTCCGGCAGAGTATTCGTTTTGGATTGCCAGAATTATTGAGTGAGGGTTTTTACGCTAAAGCCCGGCTTATCAACGCCACAGTGAACACTGGAATTGGACGCTTCAGTTTCAAATTCAAATATCTGCTGAGCCCGCTGACAGCTTATTGGATGCTGCAAATGCATATAGACCTGACAGTCGAGTGCAAAAGCTTTAAAGGGACGGGGACTGCTGGGCAAAGCTCTCTGTCCTTGAAGAAAAAGCACAGGAAATGCAACAACCATTTAGGTCAAGTTTTACGTTTCACTCTAAAGTGCGCCCAAGCTTTCAAGTTTACTGTCTGGGTAGTTGGATTCAAATCCATATTCATTTTATAATTCCTGAATGTCTACACGGTTTGAGTCAAAATCAATGCTAGGAGCAACTGGTACAGATGCAAACTTATGATTCATTCAAATTATCAGGCATATTGTCTTAATACCTAAAGTAAAGTTGCTGCAACTTGCAGATATTTGTATATGATCTAAAAATTTGATAGTAACAAATATACATTATTTTTATCGAATATAATTGAAGATATATATTAATATTTGTTGGTACCCCTTTTTTTGCTTATAGTTTTGGGAAAATGTCTAATAAATTTGTATGTAATCACTACAAATACTCATACAAAGGCTTAACATCATATATTTAGACTTTGAAAATCTGAGTATTGCCTGGAATAAATTAAACAGTAGACCCTTTATTAAATTACCATAGCTTTTTCTTTATGAAAGGCTGTTTCTCTGGGTTCCACTTGAAACTAATAACAAATTTAGCAGTCATAGTATTTATATTTATATAACTTCAACATTGAAGCGAGCATTCAATATTCAACATTGAATTCAAAGAACATCAATTTACGTTTGTGTATGCACCATTACTCTTCACTAAATCAATCAAAAAATGTAGCATGGGGCATCGACCATATGACACCCTTACGGAAAATCAAAGATTGAAGAGGCAGGGATGGGCACCCTAAGTATTGCTCATGAAATACTGCCAGCTGCGAGTATGGCTTGCAATATCGCAGTTCGCGTAATTCCCCAATGTTCCGCTCTAAATACAAACGCGATTGAAAACTAAGTGAAGGGCAATTGAAGCGTTTAGCTCGATGATGTTATTAATGGCCAAAACCTCCAAGCATACGTAACTGGTGGCATCATAAATCAAAGACCAAGAACTGGCCAATAGATTGTGTGGTAGAAAGCAAAGTACATGTAAAAAAACGCTGTTTTTATTTGATTTCTTGTTAGTGTTTTTTTTTCTACCAAATTCAGATAAATTAACAATAACAGCAAACAGCAGAAGAAGGCAAAGCAGCAGCTACAACAGACATTTCAAAAAAAGAAGCTCAAACTGGTTGACACAATTTCACGGCTACTTTTACGTCCAACAACAACATCAACAAACACAATCAGCAACAGCTGCTGTTTCTGTTTTTCCTGGTCAACTTCATTAGCCAAGTTAAGCCATGAGCAGTTAGAAAAATGGGGAAAAAACAGAAATGTTCTTCATTGGCCGCATTTCACTTCAAATATCAAATCATGCCCAGCACTTCCTGCTCAGCACACCTCAGCCCCCATTACCTTTCTTACAGGCGGCTTTATCCTTGCGGGCGGCAACAAAAGTAAACTATTTTTTGTATATTCGAAATATGTACTTTCAAAATGCACTCTTTATATCAAAAAAATATGTTAAAGCACAAAATTAAATTATTGAAGTATTACCAAAAAAAAAAAAATTTGTTTGTCTTTGAAGCTTGGCGCGCGCTTAGTTAAGTTTTAATTTTTGGGATCGCGGACTGAAACTGAACTCAACGCTCGGAAACACGGAACGCAACTGAGACGAGAAAATACCATCGAGCCGAGTTATTGGCAATTTCACAGTCAACGGATTCCCCATAGCCATAGCCAGTCAGATGTAGAGGCCGAGGCCGAGGCAGCGACGCAGCGCTGATCGGAGCAGAGCAGCGCAGCGCAGCGCAGCGCAGTTGAAGTGCTGGTCAAAGCCAAAGCAACGGGGTATGGTGGGCCTAGGCGCTGGAATCGGCAGAACAGAAGAAGAGGTGAGCTTTCGTTCGAACATAACAGAAGTGTTTGGTTTGGATCTGGCTTTCTTTTCCCTTCAAACAAGTTCGCCGCAACAGAAAGTTCGTTCATTCGCTCTTCTTCTGTCCAAGATGTCTGATGATCTGACGTGCTGCACCTGTGCGCATGTGTAACGGTGTCACTTTATGCTCACGTATTGCTTCACACATTAGCCCCCCCCACCCCATGCCCCTCACTCCGCACCCAACTACACTCCAGTCGAGCCATCGATGTAAGCGTCTAACATGTTCGCAGCACATAATTAACCTGACTCGAACTCGACGCTGTAATTTGTGCCACTTGGCCAACACAGACATTGCTTCCTCTTCCATCACCAGCTACACCAATTGCCAATGTGTTGACTTCTTTCCAAGTTTATTATTATGTTGTTTTTTTTTTTTATCAACTTATCTGTGTCTGCACTGACTTTACATCTCTTTGTCTAGCCAAGCTACTCCTTGCGCTGAGTAATCAAAATCAAGGTTAGCCGCACCCTGAGAACCTTGCAGCTTACATTTTTAAAGCCAACTTGCTGGATCAGCAGAGATCCAAAACCTAGACAAAAGACAAAGAGCATATGTTTATATGTACATATATACTGAGCTCATTTGAAGAACGATGACAAGCCGGACATTACTGTCGTTGCCTCCACTCCAGACGTGATCACACGCCGTACATATTAATATCTCCATCGCACAGTGGTCTGCGGCTCATTAAAGATACATACGTTAAGTTTGAAGTTAATGTTATATACATACTACTTGTATGCTCTACATTTACCAAGCATAGCTCCTCTTTCTATAGTCAGGACATGTTAGCTGCAAAGGAAATATTAACGATATTTTTGAATCAAATATTATGCTTGACAAAGCTATGCAACATACACGTAGTTCGAATCTAAGCTTGATCGATCATGTCAGTTCTAAAACTAGAAAAGTACAAGAAATTTACATCAAGAAAATTCCAATTTTGGTTGCCAGTATGACTGCGTTGATAGTTAATTTGGCAACTTAAAGATTTACAAGTAGTGTCAATATACAGTGGCGAGCACATGTGGATACATGTTTAACACTTTGTAGAGTCAATGGGGGCGAATTTGATTGTTACACCTAATAAGTAAATTAACAATTAGTTAATTTAAGTTTCCTTTCTCTTCTAAGATATAATTTAAAGGTTTAGTTTTGAAATTTTTCCAAGTCCATGAATACAATTGGATGCGATTTGGAGGCATAGCTGGCCGATTGGCAAATAAAATTCCCCTATCGAGTCGGAGGCGAAGAATTTTCCTATTGAGGCATTTATAGCTTGAAAGACTTCATATAACGATTTATGTGTGTATGTACATATTTAGTACGATCACCTATGTCGCAGCTTGTTTTTGTCGACATAAAATAAAATAGAAAGAATGAGTTTAATAAAGTTATTTTATTCAGATTGATTTTATCGCAACTTTATACAAAAATTTGGCAATACAAGTATGAACTTAAAAATTTATCGATGTTCCAATGCATGGCTAGATCAAATGCCTCTATTGTTGTGTCTGGACAAGTTGATCATATGTGTAAATAGCAGACTTCGCGACTCGACTCCTTCTGAATGTAAGACAGATTTAGACCATAACCCATGCGGCAAAGAGCTTCAAAATAATAACTGCCCTCCTCCGACTATAATCAACAAAGATTGTTGCTGCAATCTTTCGGATCATTATATCCGTTACCTAATAGAGTGCCATGAATTGAACGAAACTTCAGATAATGGGGAGGATTACTATACTTAGAAGTTTTAAATACCAAATTTGATATTTAAATAAATCAAAAAGTTGTTGTGCCGATCGGATATTTATGGTTGTCAAAAAACTTGGTCTGCGTAAAGATAAGACAGCCTGCTTACAAAGTTTGGATGCTTCCGATGGACTTGTTCACATAGATTCGTTCTCGTGTTAATTATAAATGAACAATAACATGAAGACCGACACAACTGCTCCTGCCGGCTACATCCATTAAGATTTTTTAGTAAACCCTCTTTCCCTTTAAGTGTACAAAAAAATGAAATACATAGTAGCACTTACGTAAGTAAACAATTCAAGCTTCAGCCCAGTTGGTTTAAATAGGCTGTGTCAGAAGAAGGAAATATAATTCAAAACATGCCGGTTACACGTTGCGGAGTCCCATTTCAGCAAGACAAAAAACGGGAACATACATAGGAAAAATGTTTGAATTGTTATGCCTAATCTAATGACCACATTTTGTAGTAATGTACAACCATTCAAGGCCGTATTACTGAAGTTTATTGCAGGATTGCAGATCAATAGAATCCATTTTGGAAAGATCGAATAGGCTTCTTCTAATGGCTGTCCGAGTAAAATGGTAGACATTGTTTTACAGGAATGTTTGGAAACATGTTTTAATAATTCATTCATTTCTTATAGGTGTGTATGTATACGCAGTTATTTATGTAACATGTAATTGTCTCTATATAGTAGTTAACATAAATGATTTGTTTGCAATCTCCGTGTCCTTCCACATTGTTAATTATACATATGTACACATATTCAATAATGACTTCAATGGACCCCCGCCGTAAAAATCCCTCCGAAGATATATAGCTGAAGCTTACAAATACAACGCATGCACTATATATATGTATGTATTTAATATATTTGATAAACATGCAGTTGCACCGGCATGGAAGGACAGCGCAATAAAATACTGGGCATATACATATGCTTGTCGACTTGGATGACTGTAAACGGAAAACTGAACAGCTGCGCTGATTGCACATTAAAATGTTATGTGTGCTTGCTTTTGTGTGTGTGTGTGAGTGGCAACAATAATACCCAGACAGAAATACATACATAGTATCGTATTATAATAATTATATATAAACAGTTGCAATAACAAGAGGGGAAACACAAAAAAAAAAATACGCACGAAAAAAAATTAATAATTATTTTGTATATTGGCTAGTGCGATGCCCAAGCACATGACCCCCGCTTAGAAAATGGGTATATAGTTGTCGATTTTGGCGCGATGCTTCTGGGCGACACACTCGGCAATCCAGACAATGTTGCGGCACTCCTGCTCCTTGAGCTTGAGGTACGCATAGAAGACTCCAAAATGAAATTGTTGCAAGAAGGCGAACACATTCAGCTTAACCTCGTGCTCAAAGAACTTGTCCTCGAGCGTCTTGTCGCCGGGGTTGTTGCCGGAGCCATCGAATAGTGCTGCATATTCGGCATAATATTCGGCCACGGTCTTCACCTGTTCGTAGTCATCGGCACGTGCCAAAGCGGCTAAGCCATCCGGATACATCCTGCCACAGTTGGGATACAACTTGGCTCGGTCATCCTTGGACAGTTCGGTGCCGAAAGAGTTGATGGTAATGATGATGGCGCGACGATCGGCCTCGAACTAAATAGAATGAAGTCAGACAATTAGCATTGCAAGTCGATAGGGGTTGCTTCGATATACTCACAGCCAGAATTTCGCACATGACATCGGCAGTGGCGCCTCCCATCTTCTTGCAGAAATTGTAGAATGCCTCCAAATATGCCTTGTACAACGTGTTGCGAATGATTTCGATGTTCATTTCGTCGAGATCCTGCTCAGAAATGCAGTCGACAAAGAAGGGTGCCAGAGGTGTGTCCACCAGCACGGCATTGTAGAGCTCAGCGGGCGTTGATGCCACATGTATGGCCTCCATCTGCTCGAAGCTGCCCAACGGGTGGCATTTGGGTATCAGCTCGGAAATGGGGCGCTGGTGCAAAGTGCCCGTGATGAGCAAGATGATGTTGTCGATCATGTAGCCATAGGTGATAAAGTCCAGGAAGTTGGACAGCGGCTCCACAGCATGGTTGCGCATATGCTGGAACTCGATGACCAGTTTCTCGCGCAGCTTATCGTCAATCACCGACACCGAGAGTGGTGAGGGCTCGTTGGCCAGAAAGCTGCCATAATCAGTGCCCTGCAGATGCAGCTTCAGGTCTAAAGGAGCGAAAAGCAAAGCGAAATATGTAAGGAAATCCAGCAGACGAAAAAAGGCAACAAATCACAAGACAAGCTTACACATACGCCCGCACACACACACATTGACCATATACACACACACACATACACACACTGAAAATGGCATGCAGTGCACGCTGATAGCAAATATTCGTAGGTCACATGACTAAGCTATGGGCGGCTATGGATAACAACATGACTGAGACTTACCCTCCAAGGTCTCGCACTGCACCAGATTTAGGTAGTCCGCCTGCTTCAAAATGCCGCACTTGAATCCACGGCATAGGCCCTCCAAGTAGCCGTTGTCAATGTTGAACATAAAGCCAGCGCTGTTCATTTTTGCAATCTAAATAAATGCACAGGCACAACACACGGACAGAGACAGAGAAAAAACAAGAGTTGCTTTATGGCTGTTTTTAATTTGGTCTGTTTCCTATCACTCTACGCTTCTATGACCGCTCTGTGGTTTGCGCGAAATGTGTGGCAATAACGAAACTTCCAACGCAGCGCAAAAGAAAACTCAACCTTTTTTCTATATCGATCGACAAGTCATATGATTACAACTCCTCCTCTTCTTGTTTTTTTCTACGTCAGCGAAAACGCACTAAAAAATCCAAACGTCAAGTGACCTGTAGAGTGCTGCCAGACCGCCAAACTACCAGACAGCCAGAGGCGCTGGCAACGTGTGCGATTAAGTTGGCAGTGGCAGCGCTGCGCAAGATGGCAACGCCAGCTGCGCGGCAATACCAGTGAATTAACGGCATCTTTTTTAAGTAACAGGAATAAGTTTATTTAGCTCTTAGCACAGAAATTTGAAGTACAGCATAAAGGTACATATGTCACAATCTTTGGGCATAATGTGTTGTTGCTGGTTACATGCATCAGTCCACCTCGTCGTATCGACGGTAACGTGGCCAATGCGATGGCTGTGCATCATAATAACTTTGAGAGCTCTCCGTGCTGCCTGTGGCACGTTCACTCTCGCCGTTGTTGCAGCTGCTGCTGCCCTTCAACATTTCGAGATGTTCAGTTACCAGCTCGGTTGAGGGGACCTTCTCATCATTGGGTATGTAGTAGTAGGCAATCCACATAAAAACTAGCATATCGACAAACATTAAACCCGCAAAGAGAAAGAACTCGTTGGCCTGCGACTGAAAGAACTTCAATTCGGCTACCACCACCACAATAACATTGCCAAACGCTACTGTGAGCAGCCAGCAGGCCTGCAGCACGGACTTCATGCTCGGTGGCGCTTGCGCATAGGAGAATTCCAGGCCCGTAACCGAAAACATCACCTCGGCGAGTGTCATGACCACGTACTGTGGTGTTAGCCATAAAATGCTCATGGAATTGGGCGTAGTGACCTCAAACATGCGCGACACTAATCTGTCACTGCTCCCGCCAATGACCAAAGCGTAGACGCCGCCATGACGCAGGAACTGCTGATGCACCAGCACCTCGCTAACCAGCACATCGTACTCCATGGTGCTCAATTCGTATAAGTCGTGGTTCCTTGCTGGCTCGTCCAGTGCCGTATAGCCCGATTTCGTCTCGCGCCAAACAATTCGCGTGGTAGCCGGTGTATTAGCTAGTGTGCGCACTAGTGCCTTGGACTTGTTCGATTTCTGGACTTCGTCCTCATACCAGAAATTGGCCACGGTGTGATTGGGTCGTAGGAACAAAGTGTGCGCCTTGGCCTCCTTCAGAATTTGGGTGCCACCGTTAAGTCTCGTACAGCCTAGCAAGGATTAGGCACGGCGGTGAGAGGCCCGGAGGCATTGAATGTGAACTCACCTGCTGTCAGGGACTCAATGCTATAATCGAGCGTGAAGCTGCCATTGCTGGTTGCCACGATGCCGCTGTAGAAGAAATCAATGCCCTGCAATGTAAAGTTGCTGCCAGAGCCCAAGAGATTGCTCCGGAATTGGTAATGACAGCCCGGCGTGCCACTAAACACTCGGAACTGCGTGTTGCCAGTGCTAGCAATTACAGGATATGTGCGCTGCAAATAGGCTCTACTTAAGATAGGGATACCAATAGGAAATGGCCACAGGAAAACATGCAGATTACTTATCATCAGAAACATTTCTGTTTCATTCTATTTTAGAATCTCTTCTTTTGGACTACGGCTTGCGGTGGAACAAACAAGTTTGTTGCGATCTTTTTTGAACTGCTATTATGGAAATTTCGAAAGATGTCTCATTTTATTTGACCCTCAGAGTTTTACCCACATTTATAGAAAAGCGTATAATATATTGAGTTAACTTAGTCGCTCCAATCCTATTCGTCTGTTGCCTTAAACGTTTCGATGTTACGAACTATATGTAAATACATACTAGAGATACTAAGTTGTATTCGAGTTATAAGTTCGTATTCGATTCTTATAATCGCGGAACTCAATAAAAACTTGATTACTAATATCTAAAGGTATTCAGAGTATAAAAAAATACAGTCTTCAAATAACAAGCTCGTTTGATTTCGAGAATTCAACTTCAATTCAAAGGAACGTAATGCATTCGGAGTTTTCCAGTGGCCAGCATCCACAAATATTTCTTGTGCTCCTTTTATGAGAAGAAATTAGAGACTATAACTACGACTACATAGAATAGAAGATAACTTGGCAGAGATAGAGAAGGCTTGAAGAGTTGTAGATGGAGAATCAATTTGGGACGAGTATAAGTATAAATATTTTTTGTTTCTTTTATTTTATTAACTAATTGAATTACTTGTCATATGCAATAACGCCCGGCGTACAGAAACAGACGCCAGGCACACAGCTTCACTTATGTACATTGTAAATGGACGACACAAGTATATGATTTATCGTAGGGGTTTATGTAATACACGACTATACAACTGACTGTGGTTGTCAATAGACAAGCACTACTCATTGATGGTGCTGCCCTTGTTCTCAATGCCCTCCAATGGTTCGATCTGGCGTTTAGGCTCCTCAGCGCTGCTCTTTGTGTCCTCAGTCAGTGGCTGTGCCTCATCATTCTTCAGGGGATTATTGGGCTGATATTTATACGCCATCACCATAAAGATCAGCATGTCAACAAACATAAGGCCGGCGAACAGGAAGAATTCGCTGGCCTGCGAGTCGAAGAAGGCCGCCTCCGCAATTATGACAACAATGACATTGCCAAAGGCTACAGTGAGCAGCCAGCAGGCCTGCAGCACGGACTTCATGCTGGGGGGTGCTTGTGCATAAGAGAACTCCAGACCTGTCACCGAGAACATCACCTCGGCCAATGTCATGACCACGTACTGTGGAATCAGCCACAATATATTCATTGAATTCGGTTCCGTCACTTCAATAAGTGTCGTTTTATAGACGCCATCGCTCTCCTCGTTCACAAGTAAGGTATATATTCCACCGGTACGTAGGCGGTGCGCTGCAACTAATTTATCGTCGATGAGAACCTCATAATTACTTGCAGTCATGGCCACGATCTGGGTCTCATTGGCAAGCTCGTTATAATCCACACTGCCCTTCGTGGTGCGCCACAAAATTTTCTGTTCTTGACCCACGTTTGCCACAGTGCGCTGATTGGGTCGCCCATTCGATGGCTTGTTCACATAGTCCTTCAACCAGTAGGTGGAAGTGGTGTTTTTAGAGTTGAGGAAGAGGGACCAGGCCGTCTTGTCCGTTAACGTATGCGTGCCAGCGGGATAGGCAAAGCAATTTTCACCTGCTGCGGTGATTGTGTAGGTCATTTGGAAAGTGCCTGGCACGCTCACCTCCATGTCTTCGTAGACACTGAGTGGTTCTACCGTGAAACTGTTGCGGGCTGGTAGATTGCTTTCGAAATTATAGGCACAGTTGTCGGTGTTGAAAACGCGCAGTTGGGCATTTTGCGCGTAAGGCAAGGTAGGATAGGTTTTCTACGGCAGAAGGAAAGAGTGCAAAAACAGATAAGAGAGTGTCAGAGAATAGTGGAGAGAAAGGAACCAACTCGTATGTGCTACACGAAAAATTGTGAAGGACCATGAAAGGTAATGAGTACTGTGGTGAGTGCTGAGTTTGTTTTCTATATAAGTGTATGCCTTACCTCCAGATTGAGCTCCACAACGCCGGAAATGATGAACGCAATGCCAGCCAAAACGCCACCCATTGTCAATTTCTGCAACGGTCGACTGATGCCAACGAGTCGGAGTGCCGGATAAAAGGCGACATCGTAGAGCGGAATGAAGACCAGAATGAGCAAAGGATTCAGAACTTGCAACTGATCCGGCTTAATGTCCCAAGATCCCATGTCGCCGTCCATGCGCGTGGCTTGGAAGGTCCAACGGGAGCCCTGCTGATCAAAAAGTGCCCAGAACACAGGCAGTGGCAGATACAGGAACAGCACCCGCATCAGGACCTTCACATCATCGATCAATTGGCGGTCGTACTTCTGATCAGCATAGTCCAGCCAGTGTTCGCGCGGGTTGGTTTTCTTCTCCTTGCACTTGGTGCGCAGTGCAGTCCAAATGGTCTTGCTAACCAACACCACCATATTGCCTGCTGGCGGCTTGATTTTATATAATGGTCGACCCAGCACAATGATGATCACCGACACAATCATGAGAACAGCGGGAACACCAAAAGCCAAAGGATAACACTCCTTCTCACCAAAGCAGTGCACATCCTCGCGCAGAATCGGCGTTACCGATGTCGAAATGAGTGAGCCGGCATTGATCGAGAAGTAAAACAGTGAGAAGAATGTCGTTATCTGCTTAACCTGCTCGGGCATTTTGAACTGATCGCCACCAAAGGCCGACACACAGGGCTTGATGCCGCCCGAGCCGAGCGCAATAAGCGCCAGGCCGATCATGGTGAATGTTTCCACGGGCAAGTTCAGTGGTCCAATGGCGCCCAATGTCAGCAGAACAGAGCCGCATATATAGACGAGTGATAGATTCAATATAGTCTTGAACTTGCCCAGCCAAGAGTCCGAAATGATGGCGCCGAAAACGCAGAGGAAGTAAACAAACATGGTGAAGATGTGGAACACAACCGTTGCCGTATCATTGGAGTAACCTAGCTGGTAGCTGAGGAAAAGCACCAACACAGCTGGAATGGTGATGGTGGGGGTTAATCCAGTATCCTGTTTAGTCCGTTTGGGTATACTTGTACTTACTTCGCATGCCGTAGTAGTTGAAGCGCTCGCAAAACTCATTGCTAATAATGAAAAACACCGACTTCGGATACGGCAGTTTCTGTACACAAATAAGAGGGTATTAGTCTAGTCTATACTCCCATTCTTAGGCCTTCCCATTACCTTCTGTTGTCCCTCTGCTTCAGCCACATTCGCGGCATCATTGAAGTCATGACCATTTGACACCGGTTCGGATATTTTCTTAGCTTCGACCAACGCTTTGCCATTTTCCGTAGCCTTGGGCTCTTCAGGAGCTGCAGTTGGTGCTTGTTTCGGTTCATCTGTGAGCGCAGAGGGCATCGGGGAGATTGTGGCTACGGGCACAGACTCGCCGCCAGACTCAACAGGCACGGCCGCCGGCTGAATTTCTGCAATGATATGAAGGAGTTTAATATATTTGTTGCTGCATCCTATCGGCGTATTTAGGCCCATGTCAGCCCACCCAAGAGCGGGACGATCTCCGCTGCTGTTTGCTCCACTGACGCTTCCATTGCGAATGATGACAACATTCGCTACACTTTACAATTGCTACTCGGCTTTTGCGTCATTTCATCACGTCGAGAAATCCCCATTACATTCAACTTGAAATCATCTTGCGACTGCCTGCTCGTGCCCGCTCGTGCCCAGAATGGATCGTACTGCGTGCTTGGAAAGCTCCTCTCTATAAATCTGGGTGCATTACCTATTTAAGCCACTCCAAATTTGAGTTTACTTAAGGCACTGCCCATAAAAGTCGCGTCAGACACATACTCTACATAGTTTACCACAAAAATACATGCATACATAATTCAGATAAGGGAGCCCGTTCTGATAACCAGCAGTCCCACAGCAAGTGTGGGCGTCTGGATGGAAGCGAGGGGTGGGTGGACGATAGAACCTGTCCATAATCGCGATGTAGTGCTAATCTCCGCAACAAAGCTTTGTCGACAATATGCGTTTCGAAAGACATGTGTATGGACATTAATAGCTATTATTTAATGGAATGAATGAATCGTTGGCGTGGTCGAGTGGTTCCAGGTCGGTTCCATGGCTCGCTGACTTAACGGAGCCTTAATACAAATAATGAACGTGTCAATGGTTTATGGCCCTGTTAGTTAATTTTTATGTTAATCCAGGGATGAATATACAAGTAGTAGAGTTATGAAATGGTTCTATGTACCACATGCTAATTAAGGAACCGTGTGATTCCTAAAGTTATACATACTACTTGTATATCCATCTCCAAACATAACACATAGTGTCATTAATTATCTGCTCATTCCAAATAAGGCCAAGTAAATGTGCGCACCCCAATTGTTATTGGAAATGTTAGCTAATGCCATGATATCTTTATTTTTATGGCAGCCATAAGAAAGCAACGTTTATGCTAATCACAATAAACAAGCATGGGTCGTATATTTGAATTACCTCTCGATTAACATACCATGTATGTACTTGTATATAAGTAGGCTGATTTATACGTAGATTAATTGAGAATGATTTTTCACTTTCCCCCAAGAGCGAACAAGTCAAGACCTTTTGTATTAAAAACTTATTTGTTTATGAAAATATTGGAACCAAATTGAAAAACTGATTTATTTACAAAAAATATTAGAAACTAATACTTAATAGGTACACTAGTTTATTGCGAATGCATAAGAAGTTTTGATAAACCCAACACAGTATATACTTGTATGTTTATAAATATGCTTGATCAGTAGGACGAGTCATGGCTATCTCTCAAAGAGTCTAAGAGCTAGAATAACCAAACTTAGTACTCATACTTCCACAAGCCCTAAGCAGGTTCAGTTTGTGTTTTTTTCCTCATGTACCCCTCCTCCAAACTTGTTGTTGCCCTGGCTTAACTCTACTGCACAAATAGACACATTTAGACATATTGAATCACTGATTAAATATATTTCACTTAATTAATAAAAATTTTAAAAGTGTTGTTTAAATAAAAGTTTCATATTTTTATTTTTCATATAAGAACTGGGTCGACTGTTCGAATTAATTATAATGGCAGGAATCGCGCTTGATCCCAGAAAACCGCTTCTTCTCAGACCTTGGTTTGTTATCCATTCTTCTCCGATTCTGTCTGTCTTTTATTCCACATGTCGATTTATGAAATTAATATCTACATTTTTAATATGAAGCCGCTTTATCAGAAATATAAGTTAGTTGGCTTTTCATATTTCCATTTCTAGATATTGGGATATTTGTTTTCAGAGATATTTGGGTTAAAACTAGCTTGACTCCCTAAAATAGTTTGGTTTGGGGTTGATGATAGGGCAAGAAAAGAGTTCCTCTTGAATTGGATAAGGATAAGGTAGGATGTGTGGGGTTTTTTCCCTCTCAACAATAATCATAAGTAACGAATAACTATACACTTTCCCTTTTAGATAGTTGCTTTAAAAGGTCAATGTAAATGGTTGTCCATTAAACTAACCTTGCACACATGGAGTGCATATGTACGAGTAAGTGCAAACAAACTTGGTATATATGGTGTATATATGTATGTTTGTAGTGGGTTTTGGGCCCCGTTCGGGTCGCCTTATATCAAGGCGCTTATTGAGCAGATCGCACTTGCGCATTGCGGCACTTCTTTTGAAGTTGGCTTCCAGCTACATACTATACTTGTACTGTATTACCCGCTAATGGTAACTAAATGGACGTACATTTTATTTTTCGAACAGAATTGATGGCCAGTCCGTCAATCACACACACCCAACAAGACTGCCAACAATGTATGTCAATGTCCATGCACACATGCACATACAAGTACATATGTATGTTTGAGTAAGTATGTATGTATTAACCTATGTATGTACATATGTATATGCATTCCAGGGTTCGGCCTACGTGTGCGTTCGCATCGCAGTAATGCCAATCACTCGTACGTACATACACATGTACATATGTATGTAAGTACTAGTACTGTACATATTTATGTACATATGTTTGTACATACTTGTATGTATGTGTGCGTACGTCAGTAAGCCATAAATTTCACTTCGGGCCATTATATGAAAGAAGGCTGCTTATCAAGGTTTGGTTGGTCGGCCTCTTATCCGTTTGCGCATTGCCATTATTGTTTATACATTGGAGTACAAGTATCAACATACATACATACATACATACATACATACATATGTATGTTTGTATTTCTGGGGCGATTTATCAGCAAACACCGCCAATTGATTTACAAGCGATTAAGCCCATTCCTTTGAGTTTACGATATACACGCTGATAAGTGCTCGTGCCAGAGATTAGTCGAAAAGCCCATCTCGAACACTCGCATTTAGTAGGGCGTACTTTCCCACGGAGTCGAAACGCTAGCGAAAGTGAAAAGTCTCTGCTCTGCTCTGCTCTTATCAATCTGTTGTTGTTGTTGTTGTTGTTACTGCTGCTGCTCTCTGCTTTGATTAGGCCCAAGAATTTCAAAGTGCCGTCTCGCCTTTTATGGACACAATCCGGCTCTAATGGCAATTTCATGGAACTGTTGTTGTTGTTGTTGTTGGAACTATTGCTTGCACATTCCATAAAATACTAGAACGTATGTATGTATATACATAGAGTAGTATGTCTGAGACAATGCCTTTGCTGCCCGGCCTGTTGCCAATATTTATTTGGAGCGACACGTGCGTTGGCAGACCGCATGCACCCTCCATGCCGTATTGATTGCCTTGTTCCTGTTAAGTCGGACCAGCACAGCCACAATACGAAGAAAAGCTTAAGCAATTCAATTACTGCCAGATAGCTTATCGTCACAGATTGCGGAGTGGGTGTACGGGTCTCTCTGTGTGTGTGTGTGTGTGTTAGTTTGTTCTGCGAAAACATTAGTTCGACAAAGCTTCTCGTATTATTCTGACGTATCTGACAATGCGTTAACTAATTGCTGCTCAGCTTTAATTCAAACACCTGGTGGCAAGCTGTGCTTCAACACCTCCGCCTACTCCCCACCCCCTCTCCATCCCGCCAACTCTGCTTTTGAGCAGCGTCACAACTTGTGCGAAAAACTGCCAAGTTGCATTGTTTGGAAGTCGTTATAGAGTTATACTTGTAGTATACCCATCCAAATAGTAGGGGAGCCGATTTCTACAGAGAACAAAATCAGAATTGTCAAGTCAAGCACAACAAAGCAAACATCGGAAACCGATATTTGTCATACTACTCGCATATAAATAAAATACAAAGTGTCCATTGACAGTGCAGCTTATTTACAAACAGTTGTGCGAGATCTCTATTGAAATTGCAATTCCTGGAAGTGAAAATTGTATATTATTATACTACCCACGATAACTCAGTTTTTGTCTCCAAAATAGTGATCGTCTTCTGTCGTAAAATACAACCATGTTATTAAATGTGTAGTGGGGAACAACTAATTTAGAATGTATTTTAAAGCCTGATACCAATAATAGATAAGCACAAAAAATGGATTAATCATAAATGATTGAATTTTTATTTTTAGAGGCCCATTATCAAATTCGATTATTGCTGAAGCAAGAGTTATTTTAAGTTCTTTTCACAGACTTCTTAAGAACAAATCCTTTAGGCGGCATAGTTTGTTCCGATTTTGGCTCGCACTTCTTCTTTTTGGATTAAATGGATTAATCATAAATGATTAATTACCAAACTCGATTATTCCTGAAGTAAGAGTTCTTTTTAGTTATTCTTCTGGTTCATTGAAGTCATCGTAAATACGAACAATATAAGGCTTTTTCTTTCTGGCTTAAATGGATTAATCGTAAATGATTACATTTATATTTTTAGAGGCTGTTTATAAAATTCGAGTTCTTTTTAGTTATTCTTTTGGTTCATTGAAGACTTCTTAAGTACGAACAACAGTTCGCAGAGTTCGTTCCGATTTTTTCTTTCTGTGTATCCATATGTATTTATGGTTATGGGATAATATCAAAGCACAGTCTAAAGCTTGATGTAACAGACGCCCTCTCTTTCTCCCTCTCTCTCCATTGTCAGTTATAAATATGCAAATTGTTAACGCGTCCAAGGCATTAGACACGTTAGTGCACACATTTGTCTGGCAACAGAAAACAGCGAAACAACAACAAAAAGGTTAGCTTTGGCAACCACAGTTTTTGCCGTTTTTGAATCTAGTCAATCGATTTGGCCCGATGTGCCCGTTGACCAAGTATGGCCAGTATTTGTGTGCACAACCGGCAGCATCGAAAATGAAAGCAATGCGTGCCACAGTAAACCCTCGCTAAGCCAACCACTCGATAGCGTCCCTAGTAAGTGCAAGTGTGAGAATGTGTGTCAAGTCAAGTGCACTTCAAATACAAGTCTTATCAGTGATAAGATTTTTAATTCGCAGCACTGTTTGGAAGGAGAGTGGAATTGAATTGTCATAAATAATGTCAGCCTGTCTGTATCTTTGTCAATTTCAATTAATTGCAAACTAATATATAATTTATGACGCACTAATGGCTCTGATAAAGTGAAAATAGAAACAAGGATGACGGCGGACGATTAGCTTGATAATAATAATATCATAGCCAAAGATCTAGAAACTCTTTGTTCTCGCTCATGAATCAAATCTTTAAGTCAAGGAGAAACGATTGTCCCATTTACGATCTACACAATCCAGCACTCTCCTTCGACAAATAACTCGAACAGCTGAAATCTGGTATCTGGTTCATAGTATAGGCCCCAATGTTTCGTCCCACAATGGTGGATATGTTTATATCACAACTTATCATATTCTTAGAATTTTTCTTGCACTTCCTTATTATTTTATTATCAACTATTCCATAGCCCGCTATGAAGCCCAATCTCGAGAATACTTTCGATAGCACCACAGACTGAATAATCTGCGAGAACACTCCTTTCATACAAACGACAAATACTAAGTACAGATGTACTAGGAATGTTTGAGTCACAGCATCTGAGTCAGTTGTTTGGGAAAAAGGGGCCTTTTCCTACATCAATTCAAATACTTCTACATTTTTGTTACAGCTAGGAAACAAAGGCTCACACATACTCTCACATTTTCATTTTGCAAAAATTGTGGGTTTCACTTATTTTAAATATTATGTACCATTTTCTGTATCCGTCATGTTGTGATCCGCTTTTTGCACACCTTCTTTAGCCGCTGCACGTCACTTCGAATATAAATAAGCAAAACAAAATGTTAAATGAATATATATGTATGTACATATAAATTTACAGCCGCCGTTTTTATATTTTTTTTTTGATGTATCGTTTTGTTCTTGATAAAAAAAAATGTCACTGGCGGCAAACAAAAAATAAAAAATAAATAAAACATTAAATGCCGGAGAGCTCAGACCGAAACATTTTTGTAATAAGTACATAAAGCGGTCGTCGACAGTGTAAAGAAATTACAAAAATTGAATTTGGAAAAACAAGTTTTATTGCATTATTCAAACGCGGCGCGAAACGAACACAATAATAATAATAGAAGTAGTAATAACAATAACAATTCGAATCTCAACTCAACTCACATTAAAACATTTAACAAAATTTAAATAATAGACGCAGAGAATGCGATGCGACAACAGTAATAATAATAATAATAATAATAATAACAACAGTACCAGCAGCACAAATAATGCAAAAAAATGAATTTAGCAAAACACCACGCTCGATCGATACGCGTCTAAGTTCGCCAACGGCGATCCACAGACTGATTTCAAATGTCTGTAAGCTCGTAGGAAGCCGTTAACTGTGAAATCAACAAAGTCGTCAGAGTCGACTATACTCGAGCCGATCCGATCCGAGCGGCTGCGCGCGTGCCGTGTGCCGTGTGCGGCCGTAGACTTCGGCAACAACATCACATCATCATCAACAGCAACAGCAACAACAACATCATCATCATTATCAACAGCAACATCGGCAACACACTACGGCCATAATCGTCATCGTCATCATCATAAAGCCACTAAAATTAGGTTGCATTGTCGCCGGCCGATCGGCCAGTTAGTTAGTTAGCCAGCTAGCTAGTTGGCCAGTTGCCCAGCTGCCCATACCGCCCGTCTGCCTTAGCTCCGATCTAAGGCGGACTCTCTTATCAGCGGCACTTGGCCGGCAATCGCATGCGCTTAGCTGCTCTCTGATAAGCCCACCTACCTATCCACCTACCTGATATCGCTGATATCGTCGGAAACAAGTATTTACAAGCCTCGGCCAACAACAACAGCAACAACAACAGCAACAGCAACAACAACACAGAGACCAATGATTTACAGCCGCAAGCATCCACAACACATAAAACCTTCACCGATTCTCTGTGCAATAGGTAGAATCGTATCTGTTGTTGGTAGCGATAGTTCACACTCACACACTCGTACACACATACACACATACATACATATGTACAGTATGTCTAAATATCGCGTCATTCTAATGTTGAAGTCTGTCTTCAATGTGTGTTTGTGTCTGTCTGTCTGTCTGTCTGTCTCTATTGTTTGTTTGTTTTGTTTTTTGTTTTTTTAATTACAGTTCTGTGACTAAGTTTGAACAGAATAGGTAGTTGATGAGTCGCTTATCAAGTTGCTCTCAGTACTTCGAACGATTCAACAACAAAATAAAAAACCGAAGAAACTATCGCCTGACAATAAATGAAATGTTGTGGCGTCAATGTTGAAGCTTGCTTATCTTAGTCATTGTCAGTCAAGATTGTTTTGTATCTTTAAGATATCTACAATTATGCATTGTGAACTGACATGGTAGTGGGTGTCTAGGCCACATAGTATGTATGTATGTATGTACATATTTGCATGTCAGACAAGAAGTATAACTACCAAGATAGCGTTAACCAACAACTGTATTCTTCCAACGGACCTGCACTTCAAAACTCAGCTTTTCTCAGGACTGGCATATAAATTTGAAGTAGTAGTCAGTGTCTAAAAAATTTAGAGAATATATGATTAAACGCTAAGATAAGAGAGCTAACCATTTCTAAAGGGATAACAATTTCTTAAGGAGCCCTTCGCATTGCTCAATTTTTATTTTTTTTTTGCCTAACTTCAGCATTTCCGCTTGTTCCGATGTTGTTCGTGTTCATTTGCTACTTTTTTAATGGGCAATAGCTTTTTATGATCGCCTAATTGGCCATTGGCAACACAACACTGTGCACTCGTATTCGTGTAAATCGAACCATGAATCACTTGAAACACGAGTCGCAATTGCTAATGCCACTTGCGAGCTGTTCGCATTAAATCATAAATCTGTTGGCCAGGCTGGCCGGGGGCTGTCGTTAGCTGCGTCTCGTAAATAAAAATGAGAACCGACAACGATTTATCCTCAAACAACCCAATATTCCCAATTGATTTGTATACACCCGTTCATATACTTATGAGTAGTATATAAGCCATATATTTTATTCAGCTAAGCCCTCCGCACTCGACCAGTTACACGTTTAGAATCGAACACACCTAGCTACGTCTAATCTCTCAATACTTGCCCGTTTCTTGCGAGCTTGATTTGTTTTACGAACCCATTAATCACATGGCCGATAATTGTTGTTGAGTTAAGTTTCTTGCAATTATTGTGCAAAAAGAATTTATAGATGATTTCGGGTTTTTCATTTATTGTACTGCTATTTAGGCGACCATAAAGCTTTTTATAATCATCCTTTATGGATGTCATTTGTACAGCCCCTTAAGATTGTGTGTTGAGTATTAGTATATATGTAGACATACTCTTCGGTATGAATGAATTGAAAAAAACCCAAGATAATGGCACAATAATATTTGTATAAATGGGGAAAGTTATCGGCTTGAAATGAATCGACTATTCTGCCAGCTAAGTAATTGTTTAACAACCCAATGGAGGAAACTAACTAACTAACTAATTCTGTAACTATCCCTAGCAAATCCGAGCTCAGTTTTTAGGTTATTTTTAAACCAACCACCCACCAACCTATTCATTGGTTGACTTGGCCAGCAAACTTATAAAATAATTGGCAACGGAATCTGTATTGAAAATTTCACTTTCCATTTCCAAAAAATATACGTTTAACATCCGAATTGCATTCCATTTGACTAGGGATATCACAGAACTGCAAAGTGTTTCTCATGATTTTTTTTTATTATACTGTTATATTTATAACTTAAATTAAACTTATAGTTAGTTCAGTCTGAATTACAATTTAACATTTATAATTTATATAAATCTGTTGGGAATAGGGTGTGACCTCTTCAGCCTCCTTCTCACTATTCTTCTTCTCATCAAGGACTCAACTATGTAGGCTTTGCTTTTCAGTCTTTAACAATGTATCTAAAACCATCATACAGTTTTTACTTGCTTTTAGCCAATTTTGTCACATTATCCAAACGCTTACTATATTCATTACCTGATGTACTAATTAATGATATCTCAAGAATAGGGAACATCTAAGAAAATAATAAAGTTGCTATTAGTTTATTTTTTCCCATCTGATTACTAATAAGGATAAATCATAAATTTCAGTTTTAGTATTAAGTTTTGTATACTCTGTATCCAAAGAGTTGAAGGGTATAATAAAATAGCATGGCTTGTGCAAAAAACAAAATGTGAAAAGATAAGTCATTCTATGTCTTTCGAAACTCCCACGGTCTAGACGTTTTATTGGAGGTCTCTAGCTTGTGCCGTTATATAGCAGTTGGGTGTGCCTTTGGCAACCTTCTTTGTACTGATATCCGCACTCTTTATCCAAAGAAATGAAAGGCTTTAAAGTCCTAAACAAACCTCTTGCAAAATCAAAGATAATTCATCAAATATTGAATCGATCTAAAGGTGTATGTACTTATAGGTATGTGTACCATAATCTTTATAATAATGATAAGTAAATTAAAAGACAAACAAGAGTGTAACCATAGCTAATAATTGAACAGGTCTAGAGTTCGATTATCTTTCTACTCGAATTAATTGCAATTTATTACGCAGTTCCATGTCTTGGCAACGCGATTGGCCAAGTTTGCGATATCTGGTCGGAGAATACGAGTACATATGTCATAATCCCACCATGGCAATTTGTCCAATCGAATGCATGCTCCAATCCTTCCGCTTGTTGCGGTCAGGTGACGAAACATTGTTGATTAGATCAGATTAGATCGGAACACATATAGTACATACTTGTTTGTATGTGTGTATTTATGAGTGTAGATTAGCCATCCCACGAGCAAATAGAAGATGGGAACTTCGCACTATTGCCAATGGCCAAGCTATAAATAAAATGTACCCAATCGATATTGCAAGTGACTATGTCAAATGGGTGGCTGTACTGGGTCGTAAATGGACAATTTATAGCCCGGGATGAGTCGTCAATTCCTCCTCACCTCTCAGCTTGTGCGCTGCCCACGTCGTCTGCTGTGTCATCGCCAATGATGATAACAAACTGTCTGCAACTTGTGCTTATCAGCAGATAAGTCAGCCCGTTTGCCTTTTTTTTTACCCAACCACACTAGTGTAGAGCCCAATCAGCCTAGTTCTCGTAATTCCTATTGTTATATTGCGAATCAGTCTCTTACTTGCGGACTCTTCTTCTCAAAAGCTGCTTAATCTCAAGAGATGCTAAGTAGAGTAGAAAACTTAAACTGCAAGCAATATTCTGCGAGCGCTGCTCATCTTTTTGGCTTTCCTCTCCAGCTGGTACTTTATTTCGCTTAAACATAACACCTAGCTTACATTGTTTAGATGCTATGTACGAGCACCTAGATGTATGTCTTTTCCACCTAGATGTATCATTTCATTTCGATCCCAAACTGTTCATCCGTTTACTGTAGGAAACGTTGCAGAAATGTTTGACAAATACTTGTATACATATATCAAAGAAATATGTCATTGCCACTTAACAAAATCTCTTTTTAACAAGAGACAATTATATCTAGTGTAATACCCTATACCCTGTATGTGGGTTCTAACTGCATAGGAGAACCAAAAACCAGAAGAAAAGCGTAGCTGCCGCTCTAGTTTGTGGCCGTAGTGTTTATTTATTTTCATAATAACACAACAAATTGTGCTGTCGATACATTTTACAATAACTATGACTCATCATCATATTATAATATCATTAGTTAAAATAAAGATATGTGATAATTTAACGTTGTAATTTCAACTTAGAAGATAAGAAAAAACTGTACAACAACTCTATTAAAGCCTCCGACGCGTTGGGGGAATTTTATTTACCAGTTGGCCAGCTTTGCCCCAATTTAGCCATATGTGGTCAGAGACATTATAGACCTAACAAACTAGCATTTTAATTAAGTATGTACATTTTACGTTATGTAGCTTCTAGACAATATTTACGAAATTCGAAAAACTATAAAAAAAATACAATAAACTTGTACTGCCTAGGGAGTAGTAGATTCTACATATCAGGTTTTGGGTCAGCCGTTTCTAAAATCGAATAGACGGACGGACATGTTTAGATCGATTAGTCATACTGATTATGAATATACATATATATAGTATATAGTTCATGGGGTCGAAGAGGTTTTACTCAGCCTGTTACATACTTTTCACAAGCCTAAAATACCCTTCTTAACTCTCGAGCTTATAAATTTGGATCCTGCAGGAATAAGATAGACTCCGTTTTATATATAAAGAGCAGTACATATCAAGATATATACATTTTTCAACTGTCCACATGGCCAACAGCAATACCATAGTCTGAGTAAAAAACTCTGAAGAACAATATTGTAGGCGCAAAAAGCTGTGATTGGCATTGTATATACAAGCCGTTGTAGAGGTACGAAGCTTATTAGAACCATGTCTTTATTCAAGAGCAAAAAGAGTAATACACAAGGTTATAATTGGCTAATAATTATAAATATACTAATTAATATTATTGTTTTTTTTTTCAGCAACCATCCACACCAAAGCCACAATGGCTTTTGTTGTAATCCGCAGCACGGCCCTTATGGCAGCCAATACTCCCAACTGTGTAAGAGTATATGCCTTAAAAGTTGGCACTCACACAGCTGAGCGTCTGTTGTCAAAAGGAAACGAAGGAGAGACTAGTCCTCGGGGAAAATGTTGCCACATATTCGTGAGGGAATGGCTAGTTCGCCGCTATCGAGTATCGCTACACGCCGACTACGAGATCACTATCAAAAAACCCCCAGGCGTGAGTAGTTTCCGGATGAAACAATGGTCATTAGCTGATGGAATGCTCTGTCCACAGTGCCTCCGTTTAGTAGTAGTGGCCCGTGCCAGGTGACAAGCGGTGTGGTCCACGCTCGTAATCGTTACTACGAAACCGAATTCGACACCAATGAGAGTGACCCACAGGATTCATCTGAGCTGAGCAGCGGGGACTGGCGTAAGCCCGGAAAGCAGCCAAAGATAGAGGGGGTAAGTGTCACATTAGTGTCTCTCGAGCTTGGTGTCAAATGGTGATGCCGTTTCCAGACATTCCCGGCATTTCTGACGTTCCCTAACGGCATCATGTGCGGCATGTAATCGTAATCGCGCACTCGCATGCAAGCTATTTTAACTGTTTTTTTTTCTTCTACTATTGTTGTTATTGTTCGATTGCAATGACAACGATGCACTTTAATTACACTTAGTAATTAAAGAAAAGCGACAGCGCCGCTGATTAAATCGCCTGCGCATTTTCATTGTGATAACACGCTTTGGAAAGCGATTGCTCTGTTTCTGGTCTGCGTGCGAAAATGAGAAAATTTGCCGACTCGCGACATTAAATATTGATGTATGTGCACAGACCTTATCGGTATACTTGTATACTTGTACATAAGCTAGAGCACCTTAGATAAATAGACCAACAAAAATTAGTGTTAATAAAAAGTATTGCTTGCGATTTTCCCTGAAAACTAAAAAAGTTACATTGAAAGTGCATTCTGCAATTACTGTGGGGATATTTGTACTAAACATTTTATTTAATTGTTGTACTGTTGTACATAAACACTTAAGTCTGTATGCATTTGTTAAATATTTTATATTTAATTAAATTAATTAATTACATTTTTTTTCTGGGGTGGTGGTACAGGGTATTTAAGAGTTGAGCCCGCTCGACTTTAGCATTCCTTTCTTGTTTTAATATTGAATCTGCCAATATTCAAGCTCGTAGTCTTTAAGGTGTAGCTTAAAAAATGAAATGCATTGTTTGGATTAAGATTACAATGAAGATCGCTGTACTAGATTTTAGACAGTGCCTGTATTTAATTAATTCTATTGCCACAATACTTACAAATGAAAGAATTGATTTAGATTTTTATTTGAAGTGTCGTTTAATAAATGTGTCTCTGACTTCTAAACATTAACTGGAGCTTTGAATATGCGACACAACGTGATACCCAATATTCTATTATACGTATAGCTATTCGAAATATCCAATGACTGTACGCATCATCCAGTATGTAACCTAATCGCGTCCAAAGTAAAGAAGGTTTTTAAGTAAATAAGACCACGGAATTAATACATTGCTAAAATGAGTTTATTTTATTTAAAATAATCACCTTCCGTCAATAAAACCTTTTACACGATCAAGAAGCAATTTTTGTCCTTCAAAATGGTGGTACAAGACTTCTGAATGAATAGGAAGACGAACCGCGATTTCTTGTCAAAAGAGTCGAGCGATGAGACAAATTTTCGATGAATCATTGATTTGGAGATATTTAAGTTCTTCTTCATTAAGTTGACTGAAGTTTTTTACTGTTTTTTGATAAGTTCACACACTTTTTCGTCAACACTTGGGTAATGAAGAATTTTCTGTTTCCTTGGGATGTACCTGGCTTTTAACTGGACCATCCGATTAGCAGTTATAAGCAATTGTAATCATTGCGGTATTGTAATTGTTGGGATCAGATCAATAAATGTTTAAAGTTTCACTTGCAAATACAATGCGCTGTGCAATGAATATATTCTTGTTTACCTATTTTGTTGATCTTATTTTAATTATATTTTGTTTGTAGTAAATGTTTACGGTTAACAGTTACTACAAATAGTTATTCAATTTAGAAGTCAATTTTTTTTATAGAATGGTTAAATTGTTTATATTTTTAAGGACATTACATTTTTAAACCTATTTTAACCTTAAGTTCCTTTAAATCAAACTCATGATAATGATTACATAAATTAAAATTAATTCCTTTTACATATTTGGTTTTATAGAATATAAGCATATTTTTAATTGTTTCATATCTTACATTCAATTAATACTTATCTTATAACCGAATTGAATAATATTAAATAATTTGATGTAGGCCTTAGTATAAGCTTTAAAAAGCCACCAAAGATGAATGTTTGAAGGTAAAGCTTTTGAACCTTTTAATTTCATGGGTAACTATATCACACTCGAATGGCTTTCGTTACTTACATACATATACACACATATGATAATGGTATTTGTATACTTATTCTTTGTTATATTAACCTACCTATAACTATAATTGTTACATACATACATATACGTGTAGGTACATACTCATAGATACTGTATACTATTGAGCAATATGGTTGTAGAATTCGGCTTTGATCTGCTTTTAGATTAAGTGTATGTCCGTGTTAAGGCCCTCAATTATTCGCGAAATACCTTTTAAATAAACAAAAGTACATGTATTTGAATACATACATATGTACATATAAGTAAGTACATTTTTAGTACACCCATGCGATCCTTTCCCTGCAGTGTCGATATGGAATATGACTGGAATCTGCATTAAAGGGAACCACAATAGTAATACTAAAGCAAGGGGATTTCAGAATATACATATGTATGTATGTACATATGTATATGTAAAACACTGAGCGGTTTAAAAATAGTGCAATGTTTTAAGTACAATGGACATTACGAGCGCTCTAGATTCTAGAACATCTTTTTTGAACGATCGGTAAAGTGACTAAGGACTGCCTGCTGGGTTGTAACGAATCGAACAATCGCGACTTAGAGCTAGTATACTTGTATGTATGTAACGCATGTAAATACTTACTACATAACAATCTGCTCCGTACATATGTACATGAACACATACATATGTATGTATATATGTATGTGCATGCATACATATACATACATACATATATGTACATGCATGCCTTGTGATTTTCAATTAAAGAACAATGTTCTATATACATTTTCTTCTTATCAGCAAAAATTGTTTGTCGGCGGCATTGCGCATTGAACTTGACAGTCAAAGCTTTATGTACGCACATATGTACATATGTACATACATATAGTACTTACGTATAGATGAGAGACCCAGTAAAGTTGCCGCATGCAATAATATAGTACATACATATTTACAGTTATGCATACTACAAGAAGATGTACATACATATGTATGTACATTTGTATGTAACGCTTTCTTATGCCTAATGAAATTTATCTAATCAGCAGCGCGGACGCTGAGCTGATGCTGTGCTAAACTGCGCTTGGCGTCCAGCAAATTGATGAAGAGAGGCTGCGCAGAGCTTAGAGGCTATCGCAAAAGAGAGGGTGAGAGAGTGAGAGACGTTAGCAATCATGCGCGACTGTCGCTGCCGCTGCCGCTGCCACTGCCACTGCTACTCAGTAACATACTGTAAAGCTCTCGTCTAATTAGTGTCGTCAACGTTGACTGCGCCGCTGCTGTATGTTTATCCAAAACAAAATTGATTTGATGTGTTTTATTCTTATTTTTTTGCTTCTTCTTTATTGAGTCGCACCTGGCTTGACTGCTCAGTTGGTGGCTCTCAGCAACTCCTCTCACCGCCTCTGCTGCTACTGCTGTTGTTAGTGCTATTGTTGTTGTTACTGCTTTATGGTCTTGGTGGTGGTGGGTCGGCTTAAAAGCGCAGCTTGCACCAGAGACGGGCTTTATTTTACGTCCAACAATTGTCGTGTTCGCTCTGTGCCGTCCGTGCCCGCATATTTACCGTGCGGCCATTTTGTTAACTACTTACATACAACATATTATTTTAATTAGCAATAACCCACGCACTTGCGCCACAGTTAATCGTATCTGAAGACATTGTGCGTGATTCTGTGCATCTATTTTATTCTGTTATGTTGTTTGTTGAATTGTGTTAATTTGGTTTAATTGAGTAATCGAAAAAGAAGGAAAACATATTTAATATGAATTCTGTGGATTTGGAGGCATCCGATGCAACGAGCATATCAAAGGAGCCAAAGGCATTTGATTCAAATGACAATCAAATCGTCGAAGCAGAAAAGCAAAAGGTGAGAGCAAAGTAACGGTAATTGGCCCGTTTCGAAACACCGCAAGAATATGTATGTATGTATGTTTTTTTTAACGAGAGCCATTACATAAATACACATGTATGTATGTATGTATGTATGTATGTACATACATTTATATTCTAATTCTGTTTTTACACGATAGATTGGTTCCAGAAACAACCGTGTAAAAAAGACGTTGATCATATGCAAAAAAAGGTGATTGGTTCCTTATCTCTAAAGAAATATACATACATACATATATGAAATTATTAATTTTCAAACCGTGTTATATCAAAATAGTGTAAAAACAGAATTAGGTGTATATGCATACTATGTAGTATGTATTTATATATTCATACATACATACGTATGTAAATATGGCGACTGCCTCAACAATAATAGTGCAGTGCCACAATGTCACTTTTACCTTCAATGGGCACACATACCCATAAAGCAACAACAGCGGCAATAGTGCGCACTTCCATAGAAATCAGTAGAAAATACTTGAGGATGATAGCACTGACGTCATCACCATCATCAGCAACAGCATCAGCATCAGTAGGCAGCTTGTCTAGTTCCAAACATACTTGTACATATGTATGTACATTTGTGTGTACCCACTATTGTCACTTTCAGTTGTAAATTGAGAAAGTAAAGTACACACTTGTCTACTAAACACATAGTACATACATACATATGTATGTATATGTATGTACGCACATACTTACATGCATGTAAGATGCAGTCGAGGCGCGCCAGCCTCTAAAGATTGCTGACAATTTATTAGCACAACCTCAACATCAACGTCAGCATCAGACACCCCATCAACTGTAGAGAAGAGCAACAATAACAAAAACAACAGCAACAGCACCACCAACAACAACAACAGCAACAGAAATATACAGCTTTGTTTACTTTATTTACTGTCTTTGTTGTGTGCACTTTTGCTTCCATAGCCATTAACAATGTCAATTTTGGCACTAAAAACACGTGCTATTGCTGACCAATTTGCTGTGCCTAGCACTAAGTCTGAGATTGTCGACTTGTAAAGTACATATTTGTGAGTGCAGGCGGCCAGATAACTTATAAGTAGTACATATCTACATGCATGTACATACATACATACTTCACATCACGATGCCTTTGAGTGCAGCAGCAGCAGCATCTTAAACAAATTCCACTTCCGCAATCACATTTTATATTGCTCTATAATGTATTATAGAATATATAGTATAGACTAGAATGTATTATTAAAGAACAAATTTGTTTCAGCTTTGAACATGAGAACAAAAGCTTGTAAATATATCATTTAAATTGCATATCATAAGAATGAAATGATGTTTAAAATATTTGAGAATGATGATGCCCAAAATGCAGAGAGATACGAAGGTTCTACCTTTCACCGTTGTTTCTAGAGAAAAATGCCCGATGCCTGATTCTTAAAAGGCAAATTGTTTCAGCACTCAGGCTCATGATAAATCATAAATGAAATAATTAATCGTCAAGTTTATTTTACAAATTTTATGATTGTCCACGATGGACAGTTTTAAATAAAAACACTCTGCTCATACAAAAAAAAAAGGCCTCTGATAAAAGGAAAAACGAAATTCAAAAAATATCAATATGTTTTTTTATTGAATTGCCTCACATTTCATAGTCATGTTTCAAGTCTGTCTATTTCATAGATTTTGAGGTGCATAGTATTTAGAAAAGATCCTGAGAGGAAATGGAAATGATTGAAGAGACATGGTTAATTTTTTTACACATATTGTGTTCTGCTTACTTTTAAAATAAATTTTACATAATTTGTGTGTACTCATGATCTTCGAAGAAAAGGGGCTGGGAATAGAGTTATCCTTGGCACTACCTAGACACAATAATCAAGTCATAAATAGGCTTGATATTTTCCCTTTGGACTACAACATACAACTACAATGACTACAAAAAGTTGTGCACTTTTCAAACACTGAGATGAAATGATTGCTTTTTGCACTTGATTTGTAAATTACTCTTGACCCTGCCCCCCTAACAAGGCCCCTTTATCTAATCAAGAATGATGACACAAAGGAGATCATTTCTACATGCAGTTCCAAACTGATTGGAAAACCATGGCCAAACCATGTACTGGCCAGGGGTAATTGGTGCGTGATAACGACCTTGGAGATGTGTGAAAATGTGTGAAATCCTTTTATTGCCCACAAATTGATGTAATTAATTGATAACAGCGAGGCTGGGAATGAAAAGCGACGACTGATGCAGCCAGCCTGACCCACTTTCGTTGGAACTGTCGCCAATGTTCTCGAGTGCTTTGTATTGCCATCTTTCAACTAAACGTCTATACACTATATGTTATATGTACACATATGTATGTATGTGTGTGTGTGTGTATGTGCGCGTTTGCTCTCAGTTCACATTTCTCTGATCCGTTTTACGGGTTAATTGCCTCACGTTCATTGACACGTTCAGTAAAAATAAATGTGAAATTCGTTTTGTGTCGCGCAAGCGCATAAATATTTTTATACCCTATACATGATTGTACACTCCACCCCACCATTTGCCATATCTGCCGTAATTCTTGCAGTTCTTTACTCAAATTTGGTTATTACATTCGGTTAGTCCATGTGTGTCCGCATGTCAGGCAAATTGTTTGGAATGCTATAGCTATGGATATAATCTCTGCACTAGCTCTGCCAGCAGCTGTTGTTGTTGCTGCTGCTTTGGCTAACTCTGTACGGCACACATACTCACACGGTTTGCACAATACCGATGTAAATATGCACTTATACAAACAACCTTTAACTGAGCTCTACTATAATCCCAAAGTATCCCTGTGTAATCGATCAACAATTTGTCTTTGTTGCAATTTCGTTTATTGCTTTTTAAGCTTGTTTTTATTAAAATGTATGTAATTATTTAACATAAATGTGCAGGGTATTTTTAAGCCGACTTGTTGAATTTATTTCTGGCTAAAATTAGGCTCAAAAGCTGAGAGCAAAGCTCTTATAAAAATTAGTTAGACATCGAACATATCGTAGACATGTTCTCCCAAACGAAAGTGTCGGGGAGAGGCGCCAGTATACTACTATTTTATTTGCATACTACGTAGTATATAGTCTGCCGCTGTATTATATAATATTTAAAATTGGTTGGCTGGCAAACCTGCTGAGGTTGGATTGCAATGCAGAGTTGTTGGCCGTGTTAGCTTGACCGCCAACTAATGGCCAAAATGTGTGACAGAAATTTGTGATTGGAGAGACTCGCCTTTGGCTCGTTATTTTGTCGAATGGGTTTTGCTTATTGCCGTTTCATCAATGAAAATTGTAAGCAATCGCAAAACCCGTTTGGCTGCAAGTTACGTTTACCTTGAGCCAACAACAATCAACAGCGATCAAAGCAATAACGAAACCGAAACGCATTACCATGAGAATGAGCAGATATACTTGTATGGGTATAGTACCTGACTTCTAGCAAAAAAAAATTAGCACAAACACCGCTACTTAGCAGCAGTTAAATGCCCTTACCAAACAAAAAACGACAACGAAACAACGAAATGAATAAAACGCCTTGTAATTAAGTGAAATGGGAATGCCAAATCAGTCACATTTCTCAGCTTCTGTCATCAGAAACCATTGCAGATTGTTTAAATAAGTGACGGGTGTATGGCCAGCTAATTACAGACTTGCAGCTTTAATTGCAAGCCCAAATCGGACCACAACATGGCCAGAACTTGTCCCAAGTCCCAAGCCCTTGAAAGCGGTCCGAACTACTTTCAACAGCTGCCCATTTTGGCTTTCTCTAACCTCTCTCCCTCCCTGTTTCTCCTCATTTCTTTACAGCCCGTTAAATACCCTAAAGCAGTGGCATTCATCATCAGCAATGAGTTTTGCGAACGTTTCAACTACTACGGCATGCGCAGTGAGTATTTCTTTTTAAGGCTAGCTGGGAATATGAAATATTTTGTTTTTGGTGATCTTTAAAGCAACGAGGTAGATTCTATTGCATCTTTTCCAATATTTGGATAATTTCGATAAGAATAACTCAATAAGAGCCGTATTTATTTCCGCTCTATTCCTCCATCTTCTATTTACCCTACTGTGTTCGTACTAACTATATATTCTTTTATTAAAAACCATGTGTGACCAACAAGTAATGTAGCATCGTTAGATTTGATTATTCATGCCAATTGAATGCGCTTTGCATGCGAAAACTATTTTTAAGTGATATCGTTTCTACGACAGCTATATAATTGGTGATAAGGCTCTGATCGGTAGGTGTCCGTCAAGGAGAAGTCTCTGTGCAAAGTCTCAACACCATGGCTCGGACAGAGTCTACATTGCTTCCAAATGGGTGCTACAACCTAATACACCAAGATCAATCTATAGACTTTTCAGTGAAAGATATAAAAAAGAGAGTCGGACTTATTTACTTCATCACTCGGACTTAGGAAAACCTGCACTTCAAGGTTATTAACTTATGTTATATGTGCCACGCATTTTTTAATCTATTATACAATACCCTTCTTTTGTTCAAATACACAATCGTTAATATTGATTGATTAAGAAGAACAGCTTTCTGACCAAGTTGACGCAAAGACTGAATACATATCATGGCCATATTTTTCTTAGTAAGATATAAATTAGTCACATGTAAATAAATTCATAAATAGAAAAGATGCAAATAATCCAAATAAGTACTAGGAGGCTACTTATGCACTGCAATTTAGCATTGGAATAACAATTGTAGATATACTTGTATTCATTTGTTTATCGCAAAGTACGATGCTATAAAAATGTAAAAGATAATCAAGCAAATATTGCTCTCACATATCGGGTGAAATGAAAAACGTTTAGCATTAAATTAAATGCAAGCCTTCAAAACAGATTTTCTAATTCGGTCTTGTTGGATTTCATATAGTGGAGGCCAAATCTATATAGTGAGGGATTTCCATGGAAATGCATGCTTAAGTTTTCTATTCGGTTGCATCGCAAATTGTGCTCAGGGTTAATACGCATCTTATTATTCTTCAGCTTATCTCGTTGAACTTAAATCTTAATCTTAAGTAGCGTGGTTTCGTCTTGATGGGAATACGGGCCTGTAAAGATGAATGTTGGCATTTATGAATAATTATAAACATTCTTCCCCTTTCCCATTAGCCATTTTGGTGCTCTATCTCACGAACAAGCTGGGTTATAATGAGGAAACCGCCACAGTGCTCTTTCACACCTTCACGATGCTCGTTTACATATTTCCGCTGGTGGGCGCTCTAATCGCCGACGGTTGGCTGGGAAAATACAAGACGATCCTGTATTTATCGCTGGTCTATAGTATTGGTGCCATGATCGTGTCTTTCGGCGCCATACCGCTCCCCGATGTACCGACCAAGTGAGTAGACATGCAAGCATGGTCATTACACGAGTACCCTTTCATACAATGCACGATCTTCCAGGCTGGTCACCATCGTGGGTCTGCTACTCATTGCTATTGGCACGGGCGGCATTAAGCCGTGTGTGTCCGCTTTCGGAGGAGATCAGTTCACGTTGCCTGACCAGGCTATGCACCTGGCCAAGTTCTTCTCACTCTTCTACTTTGCCATCAATGCGGGATCCATGATCTCGACAACAGTCACGCCCATTCTGCGGGCGGATGTGCACTGTTTTGGCGAGGATGATTGCTTCTCCTTGGCGTTTGGTGTGCCGGCCGTGCTCATGATTATCTCTGTGCTGGTTTTTGTGGCCGGCCAGCAGATGTACAAGCGGAATCCGCCCACGGGAAACATGATCTTTGGCGTGACGCAGACCATCGCTGTCGCCTACAAGCGCTGGCGCAGCCGGGACAAAAACTCTGTGCCGAAGGAGCACTTTCTGGACTACGCCGAGGAAACTGTCGGCGCTAAAATGGTGCACGATGTGAAGTGTCTGGTGAAGATACTCATTTTATACTTGCCGTTCCCTATTTTCTGGGCACTCTTCGATCAGCAAGGCTCCCGTTGGACCTTCCAGGCCACGCGCATGGACGGCGAACTGTGGGGCTACACCATTAAGCCGGATCAGATGCAGGTCATCAATCCTCTGCTCATTCTCACCTTTATACCGCTCTTCGATTATGTGATCTATCCCATGCTGAGCGTCATTGGCATCAGGCGGCCATTGCAGAAGCTGACCATCGGTGGCTTATTGGCCGCCTTGGCCTTCCTCCTCTCGGCCGCCGTAGAGATGCGTCTGGAGATAGCTGAACCGGCAGCTGCCCCCAGTGACGTAGATATGGCTCATTTGCGTCTTTACAACGGCATGCCCTGTCGCTATGAGTTCACCAGCGATGTTGGGAGCGATATTGCAGGCGTCCCGCGTTTCATTGAGCCCCTGGGCATGTGGTCCGACCTGGCGCTGTATGTGCCGGAGCCCAAGGAGTACAATTTCATGGCCAGAGTGCACTCACGAGGCGCCCTTAACTGTCCCAGTATTGAGGGCAAGATCAAGCTTAAGCCCGGAAAATCCGTCAGCTACTTCATCGCCAACGATAAGCTGCAAGAGTTCTCCGATGGCATCGATAAGATGCACGCCTCTAATGGCAACAGTGGCTCATTCATTCGGACGCTGGTCAACACCCCACCTGGCGAAGGTCCCATTGTATTGCGTGGAACGGGAATGGGCGATACTACGGATGGCGTGCAGCGGGTCAGTCGCAATATATCTGCGCTTTACCAGGTCCCGCCCGGTGGAGGGGCACTGGACATCAATGGTCGGCAGGTGGCCAAGTTTGAGACGCGCAATGGCGGACTCTATAGCCTGCTGGTACAAGGCTCCGATCAGGGTGGCTATGTAAGTACAGCCTCCATATATTACTATTTTATTTTGTATGCAGTACAGACTTTTTAAATGAGAGTACGTCTCAAAGCGAAAACTTTAAAGGATAGACCATTTGCGCTTCCCTTTAGAAACATCCCGAAAGTGCTGAAGGGATAAATCTCCCTGCAGTCCTACGTTAAATTGTCAGGGTAATTTTTATTGTATTCGACTACCAACTCCATAATATATGCAAGTAAATGATCTCTATGAGACTCTTTCTGCCATACAGGCATATTTCTCTGTCAGTGTCCATCAAAACTCTTTCTTAAGGACAACTATTTAACATTTGCTCGTGTGAAAAACTATCCCAGGAATTTCTTTGAATCCATACCATATTTCAACAATTTATATAATCGAAGGTATAATATATACTAATCGAAGGTTTTTCTACTACCCTTATTTATTTTATTTATTTATTTATTTCATCGACAAACAATGCAGTCGGTGTACATAAAAAAAAAATCAGTACAATAGAGAACTTAAACTAAATAAAACTAAAGAAATAAAACAGCCTATAAAAATTACAAAAATATCCAATAACGAATCCGACAGGGTGGGGGAATTTGCCAAACGGCCACCTATGCCTCGATTCACAGCAGAGAGTAGTCAGATACGTTATTAGACCTTTCAAAAAAGAAGTGGAGATGACAATACTTGTATATAGCAATAAAAGATAGAAGAAATCAAACTAAAATTAAAATACTTAAATAGTACAAGACAAAATATAATTAAAAATTAAAAGTGAAGAATCACTGACCCGTTGGGGGAACATTTATTATTATATACATAAGTACTATATCTAAATATATTTAATATTACTTTTGTTTGCAGACATATAACATGCTGGAGGTGGTGCCGCCAGCCACGATATCCATGATGTGGCAGTTGCCGCAAATTGTGGTGATCACCGCTGCTGAGATCATGTTCTCAGTGACTGGTCTGGAGTTCTCCTTCACGCAGGCGCCAGCCAGCATGAAATCAGTGCTGCAGGCCTGTTGGCTGTTGGCCGTGGCCATTGGCAACATGATTGTAGTGGTAATTGCCGAAATAAAGTTCGTGGACTCCCAGTCGGCGGAGTTCGCACTCTTTGCGGGCATCATGTTTATGGACATGCTGCTATTCCTGCTCCTGGCGCGCAGCTACACATACACCGTGTACAATAATGCTGAGGAGAACATAAATGTTATCAAGGCTAAGCCACCGCAACCGCAGGAACGCATCTCAATCCCAACTGTGAGGACGAAGGTCGAGTACGAAGCGGATCCGCCGCAGCTGGCCTACGAAAAAGCTAAGGCCGAGGCCAGATCCGGATCCGGATCACAGGCTCCAGCCCAAGTCGAAGCCGAAGCTGACGTCCAGGCCCCGCCACCGTCCCGTGAGGTGGCAGGCCACGAACCCACACATGGCGCCTATCGTAATCGTGCCTACGACGACTCCTTGGACCCCTAAATGGTTGGCCTGCTTGGACATGCCGAACGTTTTTAGTTCGCTTTGATTTGTTGGCTTGCTAACAGATGCTTCTAAAAATGTAATATTTGTTGCCATTTCATTTTAATTTTAATACTGTCTTTTATTTATGTATGTATGATTTATTCCTCTTGTTGTATATTCCCTGTATATTGCAACCATTTGAATCTCTGTTTACAATCTCGCTATAGTTAAGTAGCTAAATATTAGAAAACTATTACTATTTTAAGGATTTTGTACCAATTTTTGTATTTATTGTATATTTTTTAACCCATTCTAGCCAGTTTTTGGCAGCTTTCTATTTGTAGTTGTTGTTTTTTTTTAAATAAATATTTGTTTTATTATAAAATATCTTTTGTTTTAGGATTATTGGTCGAGCGCCTAGCGGTCATTTTGTGAAACTATGATTGCGTGCAAGTTTGTCGGCAATTTTTAGTAGTAAGTGCGCCCAGGGCTGCAAATTGCTCTGTGCAGTGTTGCCAGATAGACATAAAAACACATTGGCGCTTCTTTGAGCTATTCTATATAATAATGATGACTTGATTCCTAATTTGTGCTTATGTACAAATATGCCTGAGTGTGTTTTAAGGGTTTGCTCCTTGATTGGCGCTTAGTAAACGAGCTTGCCGAAATATATGAATTAATGCCATTGGCACTGAATAGCTTGTAGTATCATTAAAATGTACTGTTTGCAATTGTTTATTTTAGGGCTGTAGCTGTTTAAGCGGGAAATATGCTTATTAGTCAAATGTTATTTGATGACTTCGCAAAAAAAACTAACTGCAGTTGGCAGCGCCCCGTAAACTGTGTTTAGTGTGCCCGATCGCATGCGTGCTTCAAATTGGTCGTGTGCCGAATAAAGTAATAGGCGTAATGAATTCCAAACCATATTGCTTTATACCGAAAATTGTTGACGCTCGGGTTCATGATTAGGTCGACAAGTTGTTTCACCTGACAGAGTGTACCAGATAGGTCAGAGGCGTCGATTCTGATAATATACTCGCCACTCTGCAGGGGCACAACAACCGATTACTTTAACCCAAATCTACAGTATCTAATGGTCCCCCCAGACTGCGCCCCTGTCTGAAAAATAGCCGAAGCATCAACCAAAATGGTTGGAAGATGGCCGAGCATGTTTCGTGCATACACTTTTCAATGTGATAGCAAAGCGACTGGGTGTTCTTGATTCCGACAAACGAGTTTTCAATTATGAACAAATGGATATAGAGAAAAGACTGAAAATGTCACACCCACGCCGCAGAGTGAACAATAAAAGAGCCGTTGGTCTAATTATAAAGCAAAATCATGCATCGGGTGCAGTAAAAAGCGAGAAAATTGCAAATTGGCCGAACGACTGCATAATATATAATCCATAAAAGAGATACGACAGACAGAGTCAACGTCACACGCAATCGAAACGATGGGCCGAACTCGTTTGTCGGCGTCGTGGCAGCGTTGCCAACAGCAAAATTATGTGGCACATAAAAGCAACGAGTAGTGAAGTTTGGCTTCGGTCTCGCATTGAGAAGCTGTAACGCACACGCACTCACGATTTCGCCTGGGACTGGCAGGCATGAAGTGCAATGGAAAATACAATTCCAAGGACAAATCCAGAAAATCAAGAAAAACGTGTGAAATAACTGGCAAGCAGCTGCTATAAAGGCAAGGGGACTTAAGGAGTCCAAACAACTCACCCAGGTAGCTGAGCCGCACAAAAAGACCCTTGCAAGAGGGGTCGAAAAAAAGCGCCTACCTGGAAGTAATGCATTTTCCAGAAAACACCCTAAGCCAGCGCTAGGCAGGCAGTCAGGCCAGCGTAGAGGCAGCTGCATTACCACCAAGAGCTTACCACCCGAGGTTACTTGCCGACCAACGCAACTCTTCAGGGCGTCAGTCAACTCGAGAAGATCAAACCAGTGACATGGTCAAGAAATAAGTTCCGAAATATTTTGAAAAACTAGACGCGGCAGCAGCAATAATGGATCGCCACATGGCGGGTAAGAACACAGGCGTTTTCCAAAAGTGTACAGAAAGTGTGTAATTTTTTTTTCAAATTTTTTTCTAGTGATATTAAATATTGTGACCAAAGATCGTGCTCAAACAAAATATAGAAATAAAGCAGCCTAAAAAATGCTGCAGATCAATAATGCTGAGATATTGAAAATCAAATATTTCGCGCTATCCGCAAGGGCAATTGTGTTAATCGGCCGTAAATTGAAAAACAAATTCACGTTTAAAAAACATTTCACCACGTTGTGACATTTTAGTAGAAATTTCCGGAATGTACTCGATGGGCTCTTTAGCTTGCGCGTGGGTTTTGTTGGTCGCCATTGTGACGCCCAGTTTTTGGACACCCTACTGGGTTGCCTAGAGTTTTGGCGCGCTACTTGCCACAGAGTGTTGTCGTGTCTCCAGACAACTGGGCTTGCATTTCAAACTGCCATTTATCATTAGCCGGAAATGGGGAAAAATGTACACTTTCAATAGAAAAATTTGCCCGGCGAGCAATCATTTTTACAATTGGTATTTTTATGCATACATTTGATGCCACAACACGCACATGACGAGCACAGAAATGAAGAGTCACAACATACTTCACTATGCACCGAATGTCGTGTGGGATTACATGAATGCGAGTGGAAAAGCAACAGCCTCTGTTGCACTCTAACGCGCGCCAGGCAAATGTTTGTGTCGAAAGTGGTAGAGCGGGATGGCAACAGCTTGAAATGCAGGGTGTGTGTGTGTGTGAGAGCACACTCTTGCGCGATAGTGATGGTCAGATGGAGAAAGAGACACATTGTATGCGGGTACTCATTTGTATTATACATTCTGTATATGCTCGTGTGTATACTGTACACCTTGTATCTCGGCTCTCGAGGGGCATGCAGCACACATGGCAGTGTAGCAAGTACAGGGGGGACCAACAGGCGTGCGTCACAAGGGAAGAGAGTCAAATCGCGAGCATTGGAGCTTCACTCTGCCCATTAAGTGCCATCGCACCTGCACAATAATCGATACGGCATCTATCAATGCAATTGCCCTCGCAACTTAGCGATGAAATGCAGCCTGCTGGGATCACATTGAAAAGCGAATCTGTGGATAGATGGCCGCTGCATGGGTCGCTGGAGAAAGCAACCGCGTACAGGATGTGTGAGAGCGAAAGGCAAGTGAGGTTGTGTCTCATTTCTGTATCAAATAGGTCATAAATTTATATAACTGGCCTCTGCATGGGGCACATGCCGCCAAATCCATCCTCATAAATCGACCGTCGGTAACATTCAGTAGCAAAAATTAGCCTAGCAGTCGAAAAAGATATAAAAAAACAAAGCACATAAAAGCAATTTTTAGAGTTCGGCGCGACTTAAGCGCGCAAGAAACGCCTTGAAGTCGCCAGCAAAACGCAACAGCGGTTTTTAGTTTACTTTGATTTTTTTTGTAACCTTTAGTTTCCATCTTGCTTTTGAACTAACAAACCAATCGCTTACAGCCCAGTTTTATAGATAAAACTATAAAGCCTTTATCTCAGCTGCTGGCAGGTGAGTTTCCTCGTCTCCAAAACGGTGCGCAGTCGCGCCAGAGAACGATCTGACGTGTCGGAGAGGTGTGTTGATAACCAACCAACCATATCTATAACTCAATAAATCGGCTCATCGTTGTACTTCCTGTGCATGTCTAGTCCGCAAATTGTGCTCAAAAAAAAAAAGAAAAGAAAAAAATTGAAAAAAATAACAAAGAATTATGTTTGTGTGCGCGTTTGCTGAAAAAACGCGTGCGACAAACGCATTGTGTTTTGTGAGCAGCAAAACAAAAATGAAAAAAAGAAAAGAAAAAAGGGAAAAAGATGGCAAACCCCAATCCCAATACTGGAAACGTGCGTCCCGGGGTTAGGGTTTGCCCAAGAAAATGTTTATAATGAAAAAAATATGCACATGGAAAAGTACAAAAAGTATAAGACAAAAGAAATAAAAAACAAAACCATAAAAGATAGGCCACCACGATTCTCTGGCGCGATCGCGTCTACTATAGCAGTATCCTAGCACCTGCCACCTGCCCCCTCCCCCCACATAATCGGCCTATATATTAACCTATTTTTATGCTGTGTCCTTTCAGATAAGAGAAATGAGTCAGAAAGAATGAAAGAGGGAATCAGATTTGTAGTCAGACAGTGCCGAAGCTTTGGAGCCGATGGGAGCCTGAGTTTATAGTTTTTTAGTTTGATTTCAAAGGCGATTTCAAAGGCGCAACATAAACCTAATTGGCTCACACACGCTCCTTGGCCCCCGCACACACACTCACACTCACATACACCTTTAATAGCGTACATGTGTACTCACACTTTTTAGCATTCAGGCTAGTTTTTGTTGAATGTTCCCTCATAATTTTCAATCACAGCACTTGCGGCTTGTGCCTCAAAGCCACAAACTCGTATTGTTCCGATCCAAATTAGTTTCCATTCACTCGCTTGCCTCTCGATCGCAACATCTATATACAAGAATGTATGCAACTGCCAGATCCTGACGATCTGACATGCAAGCCTCCACAGAGAGTTGACTCGACAAGCTCTGTAGCTGCTGCTGCCATTTCGTCACTAGCTCCAACAAATCTGACTGCCCAACAGATATCAAGGAGAACACGTCTTTAAAGACCCCCCAAACCGAATGGGACGATCAACCCACACCCCGGATGATGCATCCCCGATGAACTGGAGCTGCCGCAGACATCCTAACACTACTAACGATTAACAAATCTCTCAATTCCACAGCTGGCCGATTATTTAATTATTTCTCCTTCAGATTCTCCTTCAGTTATGTACATAACGCTGCCATTATTTTTGAGTTCGATTACGTTTGCGTTGAGTGTGTGTTTAATTTCTCTGATTTGTTGCTGCCACCGCCGCTATTGTGTGTGGGTTTAACGCCTTCATTTCGTCATAATTTCCATTCTAATTTCTGACACATTTTGTTTAAAACACCACACACAAGCACACAAACACACAGATACACTAACCTTACTGTTTGAGCGCAACCTTCTGTGCATTTATCTGCATCTCTCCTTCTAACAATTGCCATCTAATTCCTTCATACACACACACACACGCACACACGCACACACTCATACATACTTACAATTAATACAACTAATTGGCAAACTCAAGAACAACTCGGAAAAAAGCATTTCCATTTAAAAAGCAATCCTCAACAACAACAACAACGACACCTTCATTAAAGCACAGTCTTCATTCCGACCCCTCCTTCGTGCATTTCTGCATCTCCACCTCCAATCACAATCACCGTCAATCACCTGTGCTCGTCTCTAATGTGTATGTTTCAGGAAATGCGTCATAGGATTGAAGCGTTTTCCGAAACGAAAAAAGTAAAAAAGAAATATCTGTTCTCGAACTGCGTAAAACGATGCGAAAAATGCCTTTGAAGCGCTCCTTTAAGTGCTTTGGATGCGTTTTGCAGAAAAATATTTTAAAAAAATAACAACAATTACACACACATAGTGAAAAAAAAAAAGAATACGGCTGAATGTTTTACGCAGTTGCGAGAAAAAAGAAGCGAAAAATATAAATGAAATAAAGAATTATTGAACAGATTGCAAAAATGTGTGGAAGCGTTATACGCATTTTCGCCATTAGTGCCTTAAAAAAAAGAAGAAGATACTATTTCGTCGTCGTTATACGAACGAGCCGATTTCCATGGAAACAAAATATATATTTATATGCGTTTGTGTGTGTAAAGCGGACATGTGCGGGACACGCTCGGTGTGTCGCATATGGCCGATGAATGAGCTCGATTTCCCGCGTTTCCATGGAAATCTGCAGGCAGTGCCAGACCAGTCGGACTGTAGCCAAGCTGTAATAATAGGAAGTGTCTAAATACCAGACCGATCGGACTGTACTAGCTTAACTGTAAAAATAGGAAGTGCCTAAATAAAATGACATCTTATATCACTGAACTAAAACGCTTGCATTATTTCTGGGTGGATTTCTAAATGAAAATTCCTAAATTATTCTGAACAGCCCGGTGTTCGGAAGCGTCGTTTGCAGAACTTACATACATACATATGTATATGGCAAATGGATCCACATACTCATCGCATATCGTGCATTGGCGATACAATTTCGGGCAGCATGATGCAAAATGGCCGCAAAAGAAATATCTACAGCGATGACTGTACTTCCAGTTTTGTGTTATTTGCATTTATAAAGAAAAGAAAATCGAGTCTGAAAATCGCACAATTTGTTTACGAATTAAACATTTCCTCAAACCCTATTACCGGAATGATCAAAACAACCGAATCACAATAGCTTGTGGTTCGCTGAATGCAAAGCACAATTAGCAAGTTGAAGCATTTTTAACAAGTGAGAACAAAAGTTGTAACAAGTACGATATAACTGATATACTATAAGTATAGTTTATATTTTATGCTTCCTTAAACGCATAGTTAAGTGAATTGAGGTCACAAGAACTGGAGTGGCAAAGAAATTCAAATTCCCCAAATAAGGGGACATTAATTGGCTAATATTGTTGGTGTAATTTATAATCAATAAAATGATAGGGAATGTCAAATTTGGATGGAGAAGTACCTAATTAATATGTGTGTTTCTTTTATTTTTAAGTAGTGTTATTCGCGTATAAGTATTAAGTCTATTCCCGACAAATTACATTCGCAACGGTTTGATAATTTCGAATATCTGGCATGCCAGCGGGAAACGAAAGTATTTAAAACGAAATTGATGCGCAAAAATTGCAGTCGGATTGGTAGCGGATGTCGTGATCTAAATTAAATATGTACTAACATATATACATACATATATATGCATATATATATAATTGTGTAAGCGATCGACTAACAACTTGACTTGAAGCAAATATTGAAACGCTAGAAGAGTCCAGTAACAAAAGCATAAAAAGTATTTTGAAAATACAATACTAAGCGCTGAAGCAGCCGATGCTGTTGATTAAAAAATGTAGGCAAGTGTTGGAAAACTCCACACAGCGATTTTGCACTAGGGATGTAAAAAAACATCGAGCATCGACGATGTGTTTAGCACGATGCATCTATGTTTTCCGATGTTTTTTGTTTCGATGCTTCTTTGCATATTTTTTGTGTTTTGTTAGGCGGTCACATTTCTTTGTGCGGTCCACCAGAGAAGGTATGTACATTTGTATTTTAATTTTTGCGATGTATTTAATAAAATGTGTTTGTTATCTATATTTTAGAATATTAAGCGTCTATATTTATTTGTTTTTAAAACTGAATATAATAATGTTACTTTTAAGTAAATCAAACAAATTCATTAAAGGTCAGGATTGCGACTACTTCATAAGTTATTGCATTAAGTTAAAATTTATTTATATTTATAAATATACATTATATATTATATCTATTTATAATTATACATTTATTTATTATGTTATTTTTAAGTAAATCACGACAGCCTGATTTATAAACATTTTTAATTTAAAATTTATGTATATTTAATTATAAATTTATTTATTAAGTTATTTTTAAGTAAATCATACAAGTTTATTAAGAGTCTGGATTGCGATTACTTCATAAGTTATTAACATTAAGTAAAATACCATGACAGCCTGTTATGATTTATAAACATTTTTAATTTAAAACGTCTCTGTTGATTTGTTCCCTAATATGAGCATCTTCTTCAATGAACAGTTTATTTGTTAAAATACGCATTCCTATTTCGCACAGAGAAAGTTGACTCGACAGTGCATATTTTTTACTAACTAGTAAATTTAAGTCTATTGTTTAAGTCCATTATAGATAAATCCAATGTTGGAATGATTAGAAATCAATATATTTGCCGAGAAAGAAGGTAAGTTCTTAACTTAAGGAACATTTTAGTCGTAGTAATGTTATTTAAAGTTCTAATTGTAATAAGTAATGTGAAATTAATATTTAATTTTTATTTTATATTCGTGTTTCAATTCGTGTTGTATTCCGACTTGAAAGTCGAAAAAAGTAAAAGGGAATTGGCTATAAATCAGCTATTTTAACCAACAAATAACAGCAGTAAAGTAAATAAATTGCTATTCATATTAAATATCGGGGATGTGCACGCTAAGCCAAATGCAAGCCGATCACAAATACAAAAGAAATCACCAGCTCACACGCATCCCCAATAGATGCGCTCTTGTAATGAAGAAGTGTTCAAGTGAAAAGCCCACACCCAGAATGGGTAGAGAAAAACCTAATCACTTACGATATGAAAGAGACAAATAAAACGCTTGACAAATGAAAATATTCACTTGTATAAGGATTAACTAAAATAAGTGATTGAGACATCCCCGTTCGATAAGCGAGATCATGATTTTAACTGCTTTTGAATTGGATAGTTAATGGAACGTTTTAAGCCCAAGCTAATACATTTTGAGGCGACTGAAATGCATGCGAATTCTTCGCAATATCTTATTTTTCTATTTACATTAGAAATATAATCGATTTGAATTATCGCTCGATAAATTGTTGATTTGTGATGTATCATATATGTATTTTTATTTATATAAGCAGATGCAGATCACCGATAATTTAAGTTTCACATTCCAATTCCATTGAATCGAATCGATCTCGTCACCTATAGATCGATATACTTCGGTAAAAGGGATTCGTTACTTCACCACAAGATCATTTCTATTTGAAAGAGCTCGTTACTTTCAATATATTTCTGTACTTATTTGCAATTTTTTCTACTGCACAAAAGTATGCTTCGGAAATATTTGCTTAGCCAAGCTTCTCACCAGGAACGTGCTCTCGCTCACTTCGAGAAGCTGGTATGATAAATTGGATCTTAAAATTGGCTGAGACAATGAGGGTACAGAACTGTGTAGGAAATTGTATTTCATGTCTCCAGTGTCCAACAGTAATTGCGGTTGTGAAAAAAACGAGGTTTGTGAACTTGTAGAGAAGAATACCTTTCGTATAGATTAACAAAGCTCGGGACGGTTGTATCCTATACCAGCATCGTGGTTTGTGAATATGATAGGCTGTGCGTTTGGGTCTTAAAATGGCGAAGCCAGTAAGGGTACAGAAATGTGTGGGGACATTTTTTTCAGGTACCATCCGCCAACAATATTTCCTTTGTGTAGAAAAAAGAGGTTTGTGAACTAGCTGCCATGCATGATGCAAAGGGTAGAGAGACAATTTAGCGTAGACAATTTATTTCGTGTACCATTCTCCAAGAATATTTCCTTTAATATAGATTAAATAGGTCTGAGACTGTGCTACCATGTATCGTATACCAGTTTGGTGGTTCGTGTATACGCTAGGCTGTGAAATTTAATCCCTGTCTTTTGTAGGGTCTTGTGGTTTATGGGCTGGCTAAGCTGTCAACCGTCATTTTAAAGAAATATAGTCGATTTGTTTTTATTGTTTTATATCTTTATTGAAATAAATTTACCATTTTGTGGATGCTTAACACATCTTTTCTCGTATCATTGTGCATTGTTGTTGTCTGCAATGAAAGACCTTAAAAACACATTATAAAATATATATAAACATTTAAAACATTATAAGTAGTTGTCCATATGAGTAAATAATTAGAAATGCATACAAAAAATTGCTGAAAATCAAGACCATATTAGATACATATATCTATTAATCAATATAACATAGTAAAAAAAAAGCCTATACTATATAATTAATTGTATGTCAAGTAAAAAAAAATTAAATATAAAAACGAACTTGGCCGGACGTCGTTCGACAACGCCGGCAGCGGAAGCTCGACGGCTGAGTTTCAAACTTGCTTTGAATTAAATGCAGAAAAAAAATTGTATACATATCTTATAAGAAAAACAATATATAAAAAATATATCTATATATACTATATACTATATATATATGTAAAAAAAAAACATATTCTAAATGTAAAGAATTTCAAAAATTTGTTTAAAGTTTTGCATATTGGAAGCTTTGTGGGTTCATCATCATGCTGATGCCTGATGCGTGATGCATGGGAGGATGTTCGATGCGAACGATTGGCGTTGGCGCTGACGTTGGCGCTGACGTTGACGTTGTTATATATAAGTAAGTATATATGTGGTGTATATGCAGTTATATATGTAGGCTGGTTGGTGGTGTGAGTGCGTTACTCGTACATAGTACATACATACTTGTATGTACATTTGTGCATTCGCATGCCTGTGCACAGTTACCTTCTTATGTACAACCATAAAAAGACTGTGTCCTGCGGCATGGCCTGGCCTCGGGCTTCCTTCTGCTTCACTTCGGCTTCACTCGAAGTCCCGAAGGCGGGACTCTTATGCTCGTATCTAAGTCGTATGTATTTGTATTTGTATTTGCATTTGCATTTGTATGATGTGTGTGTGTGTGTGCGTTAAGTATTTATGTATGTAGTTATAGTTTAGTGTGTGCAGGTGTATGTGTATGTGTGTGTGTCTATGTACAACATCCTGTGGGCGATTTAGGCGGCGTGGCAGCATTGCTTGAGATTAACGGTTTCCACTTACGACTAAAGGCAAATTAATATTAGTTAGCTAGTAGTTGTTGTTGTTGTTAATGCATTAAGATCGTTCGTTTCTCATCATCTCCGCTGGTTGAGCATCTGCAGATAGTATTCGCAATTGGTGCAGTAGACGGCGGGCGCAATCACGTGGCGCTTCCGACACAGGTTGCACTCAACCGCCTTGGCCGAGGCCTTCACAATGGCATTGTTGTAGACGCGGGTGGGTATGGCGGTGATGGCGCTGCTGGCATTGCCAGCTCCCGGACTTACGCCGCCCTCTCCATGTGGCATTGGCAGGCCATTCTGCAGTCCAGCTTGTAGCGGCTTCGGTGGTGGGGGCAGACAGTCTGCCTCTCCCTTGGTTCCCGGCTCAAAGCTAACCTTCTTCTGATGCGGCGGCTTCAGTTGCTGCTGCTGTTGCTGCTGCTGTTGTTGCTGCTGTTGTTGCTGCTGTTGTTGTGGGTAGTAGGGAGATGCGGGTGGAGCAGCATTTGCGGCTGCATAGGCATGTGGCAGGGGAACGCGTTGGTAGGGTGAGGGCAGTGGCTGTTCCTGTTGTGCAGCTGCAATGTTGCCGTTGTTGTAGTAGGCCAGGCTAAGCTGTTGTTGCTGCTGCTGCTGCTGCTGCTGTTGTTGCTGATGTTTCTGCAGCTGTACGGAGTAGCTTTGGGGCGGCAGCTGGTGCAAGGGTGCATGCTGCAGTGGGCGTGGCATGCTCGTATATTGCGAATCATGTTGCTGCTGCTGCTGTTGTTGTGCTGCCAGCAGCAAGTGCTGCTGATTGGCCAAGCCGTTTATGCCGCTCATGCTGGTGCGCTGTTGTTGTTGCTGCTGCAACTGCAGGCGATAAATATCCTGCATGGGAGTATAGACTTGACCCGCCTGCAGATGTGCTGCTGGCAACTGTTGCTGCTGCTGCTGCTGTTGTTGCTGGCGCAGTGCCTCCATTTGTGGTCGCTGTAGCTGCACATAACGCTGTATATCCGGCGCCGGTCTACCCAGCATGGGCGATGGCTGGGGCTGTTGTTGCTGCTGCTGCTGCTGCTGCTGCTGCTGCAATTGTTGCTGGCGCGGCTGGGGCTCTGTCTGCAAGCGTATCATGTTCTGCTGCTGTTGTTGTATGAGCTGCGCCGTCACTTTTTCGTTTGGATGCTGGGCTGTACGAAGCACACGCTCCAGAATCGGATTGGGTATGAAGTCGTCGTCCTCCTCGTTGCCCGCGGTAGCCACCAGTATTACTTGATCGCAGAAGGATACGCTCTTCTTCTTCACACGCTTGGGCGGCACATTGGAGAGGGTCTGTTGAACCATGTTATTGAGAAGCTCCACCTCTCGAATTTCTTCGGCAATCTGCGATTGCGACATCTCGTACTTGGGCTTGGGAAGAACCTGATGCGGTGGCAAGCGATGCTGCTGCTGCTGCTGCTGCTGTGTTGCTGGTGGCGGCTGGGGTGGTGCACAGTCCACCTCATCGGCTTCTAGCTTGATGGCGCCATTGGGCAGGCCATTCATGTGGGTGCGTATCTGTGGCGGCTTACTACCGGCGCCAGAAATGGAGCCGGATGGGGAGGAACTACAGCTGAGCAGCTCCTGGGAGGCGTAGGAGCGCATTGGTGAGTCTAGCAGCTTGGTCTGCTCGAAGCGATGAGCCAGGTCGCGCACGTTGCTCGGCGACTGAGTGCGTTGCATGGCTCTGAGATCGGATTGCTTTGCCTGAAGCTCCTTGAGCCACCCGTTGGTGGTGGTGGCATCGGTGTTGGAGGCAGATGAGGCTGCTGCGGCGGCTGCCGCCGCTTGCTCCTTCCGCAGCTTGAGCAGATGCTGACGCTGCTGCAGCTGCGCTAGAATGCTGGTGGTGCCCTCCAGCGACTCCAGATGACGTTGGGGCTTGCTGGCCTCCAGCGCCTGCAGCTGGTTCAGCTGCTGGTTTAGGGGTTCGAGATCAATTTCGGGTGGCGGCGGCGGCGGGAAATCTTCGCTCGCCTGCCGCGAGTGGCACACAGATTGTGGTGGGCTGGGGTAGGGTGGCAGCTCCAATGGCGGAGGCGGAAGATCGTGCGCAGTTTGACTTGTGTTGGGACGCATATCGACTTCATCGAGACCCCCACCAGTGGGGGTTAGCGCATAGGGTGCCAACAGACTCATATCCTTCAGCGGACTTTGCTCCGAGTGCACCTGGGCGCAGGTGGTGATGATGGTCTGGCAGGAATCCTCGCTAATCGATGTATTGGAGCTCATGGCCGAGATGTTGCTCAGATTGGCCTCATGATGGAAGTGTTGCAGGAGGGCTGCGGCAGCGGCCGCCTCCTGTTGCTGCTGCTGCTGCGGCGTCAGAGTCGAGCTAATGCGCATGGGTGGCGGCGGTGCCACCTTGGCCACCACCGTCAGCTGGCGACCGCTGCCATGGAAACTCTTGCGCATCAGTTTGCTGCGCTCGAGATTGGGATTGGCATTGTTGGCGGCACAGTAATCGAAGTGGCCCTCAGAAATGTAGCCACTCATGGCGTGCTTGCCACCGTGCAGACCCACTGCGCTATCGTCGACGGAGCTGGTCAGAGGAGCCGGAGCATTCTTGTCCCGCGCATGCGCCGTCGATGTAGCGTCATCGCCGGCCTCTGTCAGATCCGGCATGGAGCGATTCTTGCGGCGAATGAGACCACCCATGAGTAGCTTGCGACGAATTTTGTGCTGCTTCTTGCCGTTCTTATCCTTCTCCTTTTTCTCATCCTTGTCTTCCTTATGCTTTTTCAGCGTGTCCTTCGCATTGACGAGCAGCGTCTCAGTGAGCGAGAACTCGCGGGTCAGCTTGTTGCGATCTTCGCTGCGACTACGCTTCTCCTTCTCCTTGTCCGCTTTGCTGCTGCTGCTCCGGCCAAAGAGCGAGCGACTCTCACGTTCTGGCTTGCTCGCGACCGTCGGAGTCGGCTGCATTTCGTACTCAATGGCATTGTCGTCAGCATTGCCAATGGCTGCAGCCGCCAGAGCCTTGAGCGGACTCTTGCGTTTCGGCAACGTTGCATAGATCTCGATATTTTTGCTGGCTGCGACCGCAGCATGCAGTAGGTTAGCAGTGGTGTTCAGTGGCTGCGCAGACGACTGCAGGGGCGAGGGCGCTATCTGCTTGTCTAGTGTCTTATCCTTGCTGTTCTGGCGCACGTGCTTCACACTGCTGGTGCTGCCCTCGCGCATGTGCTTCAGCTCCGGCATGGCGTCCATGTCGGCACCCTTCTCCACTAGAATGCGACGATGCAGACTGCGCGCTCGCATCACACATGTGTTGTGCTTCATGCGCGCAAAGGTCATGGTATGCGGATTGCTGTAAGGAGCATCCATGGCAGCACGAGCGCGACCAGCGGCTGCATTGCACAAAACCAGCGCTGTCTCCAGATCGTGTGACTCCTCGACCAGGCGTGACTTCTCCAGCAACTGATCAGCCTCATGGCAGAGTTTTTCGCAGTCTCCCGACAGGGACAACCCTGGTGCTCCAGCTTCTGGGATCTTAGCAAGTTGCGGGTTGAGTGCATGCTTGGGCGGATATGAATCCGTTGAGCTCAAAGAGAACGAATCATAGCCGGGATCATAGGGCAGACCATGACGTGTGGGACTCTGCGGTACGGCGGGCACACCACGCTTGGCCACCATGTACAGATAGGGATTGTCCAGAGTGGTGGAGCTTGCCGAGCTGGCACTGTTTCGATCTCCAGACCAGTTACCCGAGTCACGACGACGTGGCTGATTCAGATGATCGGGTATGGTGAGCCCATCACTAGGCGGCGAGCTGCCATTTGAGGCGCCGCTATTGTGACCTGAAGAGGACTCCGCACTGTGGCTACGCTGCAGCTGCAAATGATGCTTCCGCGCTAGCTGCGCATTCAGCACCGCTTCGATTGGCTTGCGATTAAGGAAACCACCGTCCTTATCATCAACAACGATGCTGGCTCCAGGAGCCACCGCATTCGGTGCTGGAAATATTTTGTCCTGAATGACACTTAGATTCTGATATTGGGCATTAAGCACATGCTCCACGGTCTTGCGACTGATGTAGGCGTCCGTCTCATCGCTGCCCATCGGCGCCTGACTTGGGGCCGGAAAAATGTTCTTTTGTATGACGCTCAGGTTCTGATAGTCGTTGGGCGTGCGCAAGGGAGTCGGTGTAATGGCACGCCTGGTATTACCCAGACTCGGTTTTTCTGGGCTTGGCGTAACGGCCCGGCGCACTGCAGCGCTGGTACTTTGGGCAGCAGCCAACTCTTGCATGTAATGTGCGGGCATGACCCCTCCACTCGGATTTAGCGGGGCACTGGACGGCGGCTGCGGTACAGCATATAAGAGGAGTAGTGGCTGATAGCGGCCTCGGCTGCATTTGTCCACCACACCCTCCCAGTTGGGACCCACCTCCTTGACATTGGCATCATCGAAGTACACCCACACCTTTAGTTTGGTGTGAAAGAAGAAGGTGGTGTAATGCTTGCCATAGTAGGACACGATGCCCACTAACTCGTGCTGCACCTGTTGCGCCCAACGCTGCTCGCTGACTTGATGAAAGACATCGCCGAGACGCAGATTAGTGCCAATAGCCTTGAGTACGGCATGCACCTGATCCGCAGCCGGTCGCTCCGAATCCCAAACAATGCCAATGGACACGACGTCCGGACGATTCAGCAGGGCGCGACAAATACCAATTTTGGCTCCACATGAATTCTATAAAAGGTTGACAAAATATACAGCATTTATTAGAATGATATAGAGATAAAGGAGCCATGTGCTTGCTACTTACCGGACAGTCGCGAATGTCGCCCATGTTGCCAGCAGCACGCAACAGTTGGCCAAAGCTCAGCTGCTGGTGATTCTGCAGTGCCAAGCTCTTCTGCGAGGTCAGGGCAGAGGCGGAAACATAGTGTACCATCTGCAACAAGTCGATTAAAGAGAAATAAGTCAAGTTGAGCTTAACTGTGCAGATTAAAACGTGTTAACTGTTTAAGAGCTAAGTTACTCAAAAGGTTGTCCGTTAAGCAAAGGGATCCCTATCTTAAGGGCTATTGCTATAGACCCAATATATTTCTACTGTTCCTGCTAAAATGAACATTGTCTGATAAGTAAAATACTATATATGATTAGGGTTTAAATTGTCGATGGTCCATGTCGATTAAATATGTTTGGTGACCCCTTACGCGGGTGGCCAGCTCGCTAATTTCGAAAAAAGACTTGTGTGTGGGCAGCGGAAGTGCAAAGCCCACACCGTTATGTCGACACGTGCTGACTAACACAGTGAGTAGAACGGATTTCGCATCGTAAAATATAGATACGAGAATAGTAAAACGCTCCAATTAGGCTGTAAAAAGTCAACGATAATGCTAACACCTTCTTCTGGCTGGCTCGCCAGTTGGCTGACATCATACGATTCCACCTTTTAAGGGTGCTCTTGTTTCGGCAGCAGTTTCTGCTGCCTTTTACGGACTGTCTAGCTATTGCGGACCACTGTTCCGATGCTAATGTTGGAGGTGGTGCTGATGTTTGTGCTTGTGGGTGTTGCCGCATTGCAGCAGGTGCCGAACTGGTCGAGTGGCTTTTCTTGAAAAGCGCCAGCATTCTAGACAAGCACAGACACAGACACCGACACAGACAGAGACACAGGCACAGGCACCCATACTCGTGTGTAGATACGCGCACATGTGATTGTTGGTTCATAATCTGTGCGCGTAGATCTGGCCACAAACTCGTTTGTGGCTGCCACTTGACGGCTTAACTGTTCTTCGCCTGGCCAATTTGCATAGCTGAACTTGGCAGGTGTGCTAAGCAGCGGCTAGTGGCGAAAGGGGGCAGCACTACGAGTCCCCAGGTTGGGGTATAACTCGCGTAAATTACGGGATTCGAGGAAATTAACCCACTGGTTGTTTTCTAGCCATGAGAGCTCTTCCCAGCATTCGAATTGAACTTGAACTTCAGATTGTAGCTAAAGACACTATTTTGCATAGCGCCGCTAATGATAACTTATTCATAATAATTTCTTGCCATTATCGCTTAGGTCAACTCACCTGCGTGAAGGGCAACTGCTCCGAATTGGCTCCACACTTGCAGACGCTCTGCTCGATGACGCGCATGGCAAAGCGTCGATGGGCAATGCAAGCCGCTGACTCGCACGCATCCCCATCATCGGCCGAGATGTGCGAGTGGACGCGATGCAAGAGCAGTTCGAAGCACTCGGCAGCATCACCCAGACAGCCCAGGGGGAACCGACGGCCGGCCAACGGGCCGCTGGCCAAGGCGCGACGCAACGGCTCCGGACACAAGGCGGGCTCCGAGCTGGTCTGCAGTTGCTGAAACAGTTCCTGCAAGAGCGAGCAAATGGATCGAGGGTTAACATTGCCTTACAAGCATTTAATATAGTATAATTTATTAACTATTGTTTGTTGATATTCACTTTTTGCTTTGCATCTTTCTGAATGCTTTGAAAAAGTCGAATAGCTGGCTAGTCCGAATCTTTGTCCAAGTACGTTTGATAGAAGCACATGAGAATGCAACAGTTTGTCATTGTTTTGTCCGAAGCGATAGCTAAGGGGGATAACCTAATTGGTCAGCTCTTTGATGACCCCTTAGTCACCGCCTAGTAGCTTTATTTTGTTATAAATTAAAAATCAATAAAAATGGAACTTAAATAGACTTTTGTTGGCATTGCAAATGGTGGTTTGAGCAAAAACTTACAATAACCGCATTAATGCAGCGATCTCTTTCGTTGTTGGTGATACCATTGTTGCTGCTGTTGTTGTTGCAACTCTTGTTGCTGCTGTTGTTGTTGTAGCCCAGCACCGCCAGCTCCACACTGGACGCCACCTTGGCCAGGGCGCTAACCTTTTGCTTCGTCTGGCGCGTCAATGTCGCCGATTTGTGGCCCACATCGTTGGCCACATCCATCAGCAGCTTGCGCGGACTACTCCGGGGCAAGGTGCCATTGTTGCTTATTAGCTTCACGTGTTGTGGATGCGTCAGTGTGGCAGCAGCAGCGGCATTTGTTGCTGCAGCCACCGCCGCCGCCGCTGCCGATGCCTGTGCAGCGCAGCTCTGTGCCGCTACATTCGAAGAGCCTGTTGTGGCTGATGTAATGGCGCCATTGCCAATGCCATTGCCATTGCCACTGCCACTGCCTCCCACCACATTGGTGGGCTCCTTGCGTTTGTATCGAAACTTTATCATTTTGAATGTTATCGCAATGTTTGTTGTTGTTGCTGTGCTCCCTGTTTAGCTAGCTGTGAAGGTGTGGTAAAGAATATATGTTTAGTTGTTGCCTGGCAGGCCTTGCAATTGCCAGTGCCAGTGCCAAGCTAATTTCCGACTCAGAAGCAGCCAATGCCTTCCCATTGCTGTGGCACAAACAATGCAAATTTTCTAAAGCAGCTCTTGCTTGTGGGTGTACTATAGGTTTGTTTCAGTTTCGATTCTCGATATTGGTGCGTGGTCGCGACGCAAACACTTGACCATCTCTAGTATAGGCGTTGCTGGCGCCCAACTTGAACTCAAATGAACCGCACACGACGAAGGCGACGACGACGACGACGCCTAGACACAATTAATTCACATTAAATTAAGTTGTAGATTGATGAGCGATAAGTGGTGGCAACAGAAGGAAGTTGACGGAGCCAAGAGTTGTGCAACACACACTCACGAGTACCCACACCCATATAACTGACCAGCACAGAAGTTGGCAGCTGACAAGGCAAAAAGCGAGCAAGTGCAAAAAAACTACAAGTATTGAGAAAAAAGAATAACAGAAGACGTTGACGTCGCCAAACGGAAGTGAACAGCAACAACCAACAACAAAAAGTGTAGCCTCAGCCCACATAGAGTGTTTGTGTGTCTGTGTGACAAAGGAAGTTGCACTGGCATTAAATTGAAAAATTAAACCACAAGCAGTTGAACTGAAGTTGAAGTTCAAACTCCAGTTAAGAGCGTTCTGCATTTGAACTTTTGCTGCACTCGGACTTCCAGGGACTGCCAGGGGCTTCCAGGGACTTTTAGGGCTTTTAGGACGCGTGTCCAGCGCGAACAATGAACACATGCCACTCCACTTAATCACCATCATTATGCAAAAACACATACGTTATATATACATATGTAGCTAGATGTACATACTATGTATAATATATGCTATACTTGTATCTGTATTATGTGTACACTTTTGGGCCAACAGCTGCTAGGCAGGATCTGTAATGATTATGATATTATTGTTGCCGCCTAATTGCACTTGCAGCTGCCTGCCTATTGTTGTTCTCAAAGGCGTTGTTGTCGCTATCATTATGCGCATGGACCGCACCTTAAAAGGCTAGGCAAGTCAACGAAAGTGAGCGAAAAAAAACTGAAAAGCATCCGAGAAACCAGAACAATATGTGGCTTTGGCATAGACTTTCGCTTTTGGGCCAGTTGACGACGTTGACCTCATTCGTTGCATGTCCCAACCAGCCAACCAGCCAACCAGCCAACAAACCAACAAGTCAGAGACGTTGGCGTTGAAAGTTTCTTGTGCCACAAACCGGTCCAGCGAAACATCCAGCCAAAAGTTGTTGTTGTCGTTGTCGTTGTTGTTTCTCATTTCATTTTTGCACATTAATGTGTCAAAAGGCACAAGGCTTAGAGCTTAGAATGTCAATGCAGCATTTTTATTTCAAATCTTTCCCCCTCCTATCATATTTTATTGTTTGTGTGTCAGACATCAGATTGCAGGCAAAAGCTGCCGACGTGTGAAAAACCAAAAGAACGAGTACGACAGCAACCAGTGGCGTGTCTGGGGGAGGAGTGGCGCCGTTTCTGTATTTGCAAGGGCGCTAAAATCTATATAACTTATCTGAATAATAAGAATATAATGGAGCCCACACAATGAAACCCATAAGATATTTACATTTTTTAGCAGACATTATTTAAAGTATTTAAGTCAATAGCGACCATTTGAAAACAAAACTGCTTATCGATTTGCCTGCTTCACAAAAACTGAGCCTACCACCAATCCAACTGCTTGAAAGCATAAAAGTTCTAGAGCTTTACAACTAAGAAACCAGCAAAGAGTAAGGAAACTTGAATATAAACATTATAAATTATCTTGTGATTATTGATAATTGATTGTTTGTTCGCTATGCTCGGGGTCATCATATTATTGTTCACTTTCTTCTGTAATGTTTACCGCGCCAGAACTGAAAATATGAGCCCCACAGAACATGAGCCCCACAGTAGTTGAGCCTAGAACCGGCTCTGGAAACAACAGCCCCAAAACTACAAGTAGAAGGGCAGCGCGCAACTAATGCGAACAACTGGTTGCAATTTTTGTTTTTTGCTGACACTGGCTCTGTCTGAAAAATGAGCGCTCTTAGAATCTGAGAAGTGCTAAAAACTGACAAATGGATAATGCCTGACTGTTCGTTGTTGTTGTTGTTGCTGTTGCTGTTGTTATTACTATTGTATTTGGTGCCATGGCTCCAAAACGCACCAAGTTCTATAAAATGACGCCATATGGCTTATGAGACATGACCACGCGGCATTTTTGCACTTTTGCTTTTTTCTTGTCTCTTTGTCTCTTTGCCTTTTGCTGTTATTTACAATTAATACTCTTATTTATTTAAAAAAAAATTATATATGCATGTATGTACTACCTACATATATGTGTATATAATTTTTTGTGCGTCGCTATGTGTATGCTCGGTACGTGCCATTTTTTGTGCTAAATACACAATTCACAAAGCAAGAGCAACAATTATGACGACGACAAAGGCAAGCCCTAAAAATAAAACGGTGATAATATTGTTGTTATACCTATAGAAGTACCAGTATAATTAACACTTGTGTCAACTGACTCCGAGTATTATGTGCAAAATAATACAACGTGTGGATAATAGAACGCCAACAAAGAAAGCGAACAACATTCAACATTCAGTTGCAAACGAATGCGAATCAGTCTTTAAGCGAATGCCTGATGGTGTGTAAATGAATCAAAAGTTTGCAAAGCTATCATTAGTGCTTAATTACAACGAAGAAATATATACATATCTATCGAACAGAATGAGGCTAAGGCTCTTAACCAATTATATCTCTATTTTAGGACTGCAGCAAAAGGAATTCGTTCGCTAATTATTGGGCAGCTTGGACAAAGGCACAAGGGCAGAGGCATTAGGATCTTGGATTGCTCCACTATCTAAGTAAGCCACTCTAAGGTGCTAAGGAGTCTAGAGAGCGCCAAGCCGATCCATAATTGTGGACGATAGCAGTTCACCAAACCTTTCTACCTGCATTGAAAAGGTCGCTAGCCCTCAAATCAAATACTTTGCGAACTAAGGGGAACTGAGCACGAGAAATTGACTAAGAAATCAGAATAAAGGAGCCTCATATACATACATATATATTCCATTCATTATTCATTTAGGCTTAAACAATTTTCGACAATTTTTTACTTTGCATTTTTGGGAGAGAATATTGTAAGAAAAGTGTTTACATAGGAAGTGCAGGTCTTATTAAATTGTTCCCGCCTAGACGTAGAAGGATGTTACTTTACTTGTTGGTCATTAGTTCAGAAAGCTGCAAAGGATTTTTGTTTGAAAATTTGCATTTTCTTGATTGTTCCATTCATGCATATATCGCATACTCTATATACTGATTGACTAACTGCATTTTAAAACTAATTGCCCTGCCGACACTTATCGCGTTTAGCCCATATTCACCGTAGCTCTAGAAGCCACATTGTACGTTGTGGAAGCTAGTCAGACAGACAGATGGACAGACAGACAGACAGACAGATGGACAGGTAGACAAAATACTTGTAATCAACACAACAACAAGTTCGACTGCAGTTGCGTTTTATCTTCTGGTTTTTGTTGCTGTTGCTGCGGCTGTGGCTGTCATATTTTTTTGATGAGGCATAAAACTGCGCAGACAACAAAATGCTGAGCAGGCGGAAAAGCCCTAAACGGAAGTGGACAGTTTTAAGTGCGACTGTTTGTTTTTTCATTTTAAATGCCCGTTTATTGTTTTTCGGGCGAAAAGGTGCAGTGCTATTGTTGTTGCTATTGTTGTAAGTACGAGTGTGTTTGTGTGTGTGTGTGTGTGTGTGTGTGTGTGTGGTGGTTTATGGAAAAATGCAAGTTGTGGTTGTTACATAAGCGTTGGTAATAGCTGTTATTGTTGTTGGTGCCGGTGGCAAGCAATTAGAAATCATTTGCATGCTAATTAGACGTCATGCTTTTTAATTTTTTCACAACGATGGCTTTTCTTTGTGCTTCGAACTGCTATCTCATGAGCAAAGTGGCGTTAAATTTGGCACAAGTTGGCCAAAACTGTTGATATTGGTCAAGTG